CCTTGTCCACTGCAAGCTTCATATCAGCAGCCTTATAGCATTTTTTCTGTATCTGTAAGCTTGTAGTTTCACACCATTTTAATTGGGTCAAGCGAATTTACTATGAAAAAAAGATCGTGAAAAACATACCTGAAACAGAAAGGAATGTTTTAGTGACAACCATTATCTGCTTTGGAGAAATAAATCATAGTTTAGGTCAATTACTTTTCATTCTATGATGCCTGGTGCACAATTCTATATATGACATTCTATGCACAATTTTGTGATGACCGATGAAGCACTAATTTTTCGATAAGTGAAATTTTTTTTGCTGAGCACGGTAAATGTAATCAATATTCTCTGTTTTCAATCAATTTTTTTCTTAACTGGAGCCTTTGCTAACTGAGGTTCTACTGTAAAATGTAAATGCGTTTTTGGGGGTGTCCCGATTCCCCAATAGATCTGGGGGATGTCCCTAGCCAGGCTGTAGAGTAGGGCCTTTCAGCTCGAGATATCGGCGTCTTTTCAAGCTCTCCATCAGCCACATCGACCTTAAATAGGCGTCCATGGCCGATCATAAACTATGGCTCAGGCATCCATGGCCGATCATAAACTATAGATTGCTGGATCAGCCCCGCTGTCACCGCGCCCATCTTCAGCTTGTTTGATTGCTTGTATCTGTCACCGGATCACAATGTGCATACGTCTGGCAAGCCCAATGCTACTGCTGAAAAAACTTGTCAATCTATTGTGTTCTAACGCGATCTATTGTGTTCTAATGCGATCTATTTTGTTCTAACGTGATCTATTGTGTTCTAACGTGATCTATTGTGTTCTAACATGAACTATTGTGTTCTAATGTGATCTATTGCGATTTGCGTTCTACCGCGATCTATTGCGTTCTAACGCGATCTATTGTGTTCTAACGCAATCTATTGTGTTCTAACGTGTTCTATTATTTTCTAACGTGATCTATTGCGTTCTAACGCGATCTATTGTGTTCTAACGCAATCTATTGTGTTCTAACGTGTTCTATTGTTTTCTAACGTGTTCTATTGTTTTCTAACGTGTTCTATTGTTTTCTAACGTGATCTATTGCGTTTTAACGCGATCTATTGTGTTCTAACGTGATCTATTGTGTTCTAACGTGATCTATTGCGTTCTAATGCGATCTACTGTGTTCTAACGCGATATATTGTGTTCTAATGTGATCTATTGTGTTCTAACGTGATCTATGGTGTTCTAACGTTATCTATTGTGTTCTAACGTAATTTATTGCGTTCTACCGCGATCTATAGCGTTCTAACACTATCTATTGTGTTCTAACGCAATCTATTGTGTTCTAACGTGATCTATTGTGTTCTAACGCAATCTATTGTGTTCTAACATGATCTATTGTGTTCTAACTTGATCTATTGCGTTCTAACACGATCTATTGCATTCTAATGCCAATCTATTGTGTTCTAACGTAATCTATTGTGTTCTAACGTGTTCTATTGTGTTCTAATGCGATCTATTGTGTTCTAATGTGATCTATTGTGTTCTAACGTAATCTATTGTGTTCTACCGCAATCTATAGAGTTTTAACGCGATCTATTGTGTTCTAACGCGATCTATTGTGTTCTAACATGATCTATTGTGCTCTAACATGATCTATTGCGTTCTAATGCAATCTATTGTGTTCTAACGCAATGTATTGTGTTCTAATGCAATCTATTTTGTTCTAACGTGTTCTATTGTTTTTTAATGTGATCTATTGCGTGCTAACGCAATCTATTGCGTTCTAACGCAATATATATTGCATTCTTACTTGATCTATTGCATTTCAACGAGATCTATTACATTCTAACAAGATCTATTGAATTCTAACAAGATCTATTGCATATTAGCGTGATTTATTGCATTTAAATGCAATCTATTGCATTTAAATGCAATCTAGTGCATTTAAATGCAATCTAGTGCATTTAAATGCAATCTAGTGCATTTNGTAGGTTTCCATTCTAAAGGCTTTTTAATAAATATGGCAACATTTTGTGACGTTTCATCGTTGCTGACGCGTAGTGAAGTGTTTTGAGAGTCATGTGAAGGCAACAGAACTTACGTAACGCATACAGTTTTTCATTTCTCAATGCGTCCTTAATGTGTCGGAATATACCGCGTTTACCCTACAGACCTTAGCAGAACTGCAGAAGTAACTTTTCAAAATATTGTTTTTCATCATTTTTTCAGGAATTTTTCAATGCTAGTAAATGAAGTAGCCTATTTTTGAACTTCCTTTATACTACATACGTACATAGCATGATAGCCTAGATAGGAAAAATGTTGACGTTTAGCTACGCCACTTACCTAGGCGCCACTATATTAAGTTTTGCAATATTCCAATCAGTTTTACTACTAAAACAATTTTACGTCATGTTGGAGGACTGTCCTGAGTTACCCTGCCCATCCCGATTCCCGAGTAGCCCCGTTTGACGCCTTGACGGTAATGCAAGCAACCAAAGTTTGAGCTTTCTCTTACTTTCAATACTTTATTTTTGAGTTTTAATAGTTTAATGCTACCAATGGTTACTTTTGCCTGACCATAGTGGCAGACCAGAGCTTTTTAGAATCAGTTCATTTTTAATTTCCTCATTTACTCAAGATTTAAACCAATTTCTTTAGTATAATAATAGTAATACTGGTATCCAGTATCCACTATCCAGGATACTTTGCTGGTCTACTTATAGGACTCAAAAATGAACTTGAGGGAGAGTCTAAAAAACTCTCTGCTTTGCCACTATGTGCCTGACTGTGATATGTGGTATCAAATCAATATGACAGTATCACATTATCACAGTAGGCTACTAGCTAATTTTTTTTCCAGTTTGTTTAGATTCTGTCCATAGAACGATAGATTCTATGCTTATGCCCACGACCCGTTATGATATTTTTGCTAGCGTAATTATCCACGGAAAAATACATGATTAAAGTGTGAACTTAGGCGAATCTAGCATTCGCCCTTCTGGCCTTTTCAGGCTTCAGCTCCGGCATGCGCCTGGGCCGCCGCCTGCCTCACGAAATATCTCAAAATAGACTTTCCTGTCCGCATTAAATAGAACGGAAATAAATTTAACATCAAGGTGATAGATAATCCATATAACTTTAACTTGAATGAAATTGCATATCTTTCCACTATGAATGAACAGAAGATTGAAGGTTATTCTTAATCATGAAGTAAATAACCATACAAATGAAAATCTGTGTTGCTGTTGTAGCCGGCTTGAAGGTGAAGAAGTGGCCGCATGATGACCACTTGTTACACCTGGACTCAGCAGAAAGTTTCAGCGTTATGTGTCGATCATGGTTGAACCAGTATGAGGTTGACTCATGAGAAGCTCATTTTCGCGGATGGAGTTCGTTGTTTGCCTGTGACGTCACTGATCTCAGTGATGTCACGGACATTAATCATTCATCAAAATGCAACCAAACCAGTCAACTAATCCGTCATGGGAATGACGGGATTGCTTACGTTTCTCGATATACGTGACGTAATCGGGCTCGCCAAGCTCCCGCGTATCCACGTTAGCCGCGTTGCTACGCCACCATCGGCGCCTCAGCTTACTCTCTCGTTCCTACACATATGGACGTTTTGGTAGCAATGGAGAAAGAAAGAACAAAGCAGAAGGGATTAGGCTGTTGTCAAAAACTCCTTCCTTCAGTGAGAGACCGGTATTTAAGAAAATTGTTCGACATTATAGATGTTGATGCCAACGAAGTGCCGGCAAAGCCGTGGTGTGCAGATTTTGCAAGCCTGCCTCCCGTTTAACACGATGATTTACTTAACTATTTGGTGTTTGGTGGTCAGCCAATACACCTTGTAAGAATTCAAGGCATACAAGACGCTTGAAGCTTACAAACAATTTGTGGATGGATGGGTACAGGCGATGGTGAAACGAAACTTCAAGGAATCAAGAAAGGCGATGTACCTGGTAGAGTTAGTATGATAGTACAACTGGACGAAGATAATGATGCTGATGAATGGAACCTTCTAAGAATGGAAAATGAAATTCCTTTTCACCTTTTTGAAGAGGAAAAGGATGGAATTTTATCAACCATTCAATGCTTACCAGGTAACCAGGGTTCGGACGGCTCATAGTAATACCGATCCCGATATTGGGCGCGCTCATGTGACACCTCAAACCATAGAACTGACCAACAACACACCAATTCACCAGAAACCTCGACATTTTGCTAAACCAATTTATATTGAATTTGAAAGGCAATGTAAAGAACTCGAAACATTTGATGTTATGGAACAAAGCGAATCATTTTGATCTTCCAACAAACCAGCCAACTGCAACAACACTATCATCGCTGCAGGATAATGGATGATGACAATATTATCTGACCTATAAATATTATTACGTTCTATTCTTACTTATCTAAAGGCAAATAACAGATTTTGCCCCTGGAAAATGTATAGTATCGTATATAATAAATATTCACGGCTGGTAAACTGATATGCGATACGTATATCAGTACGAGCCATAAACTGATACGATATACACAGCATTCACGGCTAGTAAACTGAATAAAAGCATTCCATTGCATAGTTTTCCGTTTAAATGGCCGTGAGAACGACTGGTACATCATACAACGGTACAGTAGCGTCCCATCTTAACGTCAGTAGCGACGATCGCAGTAGATTTAACACGGAGGCGAAAGCTAGACCCTGCTACAAATATGGCGGCCGATCCCACAATGCATCTGGCGATTCGGTGCTGTGACGTCATCCTTTCGAGCCCGACATTCACAGCATTTCGCGGTCTTGAACTCACAACTCACTGCTACAATTCTGCTTTGCTTAACCGCCCGGCCTCCTCGTCGATTCTGACCAGAAACTGGCGCACAGAGCTGGGATCAAACCCGCACCTGTCTGCGGCAATCTTGGTACTCTGGACTGTAACCACTGGGCCACGTTAAACCAAGTGACCAAATTAAAATTTTTAATAACTCTTTTTCCTTTTATTTGCCTTTTTAAATCTCAGTAAAGGAATTACCGTCATCATAAATTTTAGGAAGTACCGCCATCAAGTATAAAATAAGGAAGTACCACCATCACAAAGTCCAACGCAAAAAAAGCTAAATCGTGGAATTAGTCCAAAAAAGACCATCTGTCAACCCTGCAGCTGGCCATGTTGAATAACAAAAATTGCACTAATGGTTACGAGGTTTGAAAAATGAATAATTTGTTTAACGAATACAACAGATATTTATTGTAGATTAATTAGAACCGCATTAATTCGATAAAAATTTATCTCTCCAGATCTATTCCAGCCATTCATCATGCTAGAGCTAAAAATCATGTTTAGGTACTAATTTTATTTTCTTTTTCGTTTCCAACTTAGAAGGATCAAAATTCGCCACGAACATAGAATAATTTCTAAACTACTGAACAGTCATGAATGAACGAATGAACTATAAATGAACTGAAGCAACGTGTTAATGCCTCATACACTTTGCGATTGAGTGTTGGATTGCGCGTTTAGCCTCATACATCGCTAAGGAAGGCTAACTCGAAAAGATTATCGCGAACTAAACATCACCGCAAGGTCATAATGAACACACTTGTAACGTTTCATCGAAATGCGTTCTCTAGTTTGGGAGATATTTTATACGTACTACAAATTTGACTATCAGCCTGAGAAGTGATGTCGCTTCTCCGTATAGCTATATAATATCAATATGCAAATGAAGCCTTGATGGAAAACTTTTGCAGTAGCTATATATCACTGTTAGTTGAGTAGGAATATATATTTGAAGTGTTGTTCAAATTTACTCGGTATTTTCGATAATATTTTATGTTTAATGCGAATTTTGGAAGCCAAACATCTCAAAATCAATTCTATACTTGTCGAACAACATCTTTCGCTCGCGTTCACTTAGTGTTTTCATGTATATCTCACGAAGAGCTTCAGTTTTCTTCCCTTTTGTCAAATGCTTCCACGATGGCTTGATCTTAGTCTCCAATTTGAGTTTGTGAAGAATATACATCTGGTCTCTCTGCAGTGACTCGAAATGTGCAATGACGTCGTAGTCAATATAACAGGAACTGCAGAAAAGATAATACGGCATCCAGTGATCATCGGCATACAAAGCCAAATCTATATCTATTAAATACCTAACAAATTCTTGAAAGGTGGGTTCAACGCCTGCAGGTTTTGGCAAGTGTGATTCTTCATGTAACCTCACTTGCTGCACGGTCGAGTTAGGAAGTCGGTATTTGTGGACGATCTTTTTGCCATACGACTCATGGAAATGAAGAACTCCGTGCTCACGGCCGACGTTGATGTTTTCCAGCTTGTCGCGGTAAGCTGAGATGAGGCGGTCGAAAGGATGTCGAACTATCATGAACCTCAGTGTGCCTGGAACTACCTGAAAATTAAACACCGGGTAATTTAGCCGGAATCTTTAGAACTACAAGAATGTCATTTTATATATACACCGTAAACAACAGAGAGACAATGCAGCATGATGCATTGGACAATTTTAAATCTTACAATTTCTGGAATATGCCAACGAATTATTATGAAGAGTTTCAATATTATCTTGCAGTGAACGACACTGTGTTTGTGCAACACGGGATTCTCAAACGAGAAACAAAAACAGGAAAATGAAAGGGTTGAGTCAGATAGGTCAGAGATTTGTACGAGGTAACCAAATTACAGTAGCACATGAAACCCGAACGCGTATACATTTTGGCTTTTGATTGAGGCTTGTGAGCTTCTTTCTAATGAGTAAGGGTGTCTTAGGGCACTGTAGATAGAGAACCTTGATTGTTGACGGGTGCTTTCTAAGGAGAGTCACGATGTCTGTAATCCGCAGGCCCATAAAATTGCTGTTTTAATGTCTGTATAGAATCTTTGGGGGTTACGTTGTGGTCATCTATGGGAAAGTCTATAGGGTTAATCCATTCGGGGGTCTCCAGCAATATCAGGTCGGATTTTAGAGTCCCGAGTTACGATATATAGCATTTAGATCTGTTAGAAGATACGCATACCAGAGACTATCATTAGTGAGTACATATATGATAATATACGAGTACGTAATTTATGTAATATCTGCGTGGTGTTTTTATTATTGTAATTGGTCATTATTTTGTTTCCCAAGTAGTTCCCAGCTCATACGAGTGGAGGTTAGGATTGGATGTAGCACTCGACAGCCTGAATTGAGTTTCCTATTTTGCTGCTGCACATGAAGTAATAAAATATTTTGAAGGATGTTGTCTGTGAGGGAGTGTTTGTTGATAAGTTCGACGTCTCATGGATATTTTTTCGCTTATATACTCCTTTGAGTGTTTGTCTAGTAGCTCCATTGTTCCACTTTAAAATGCAATACACTCCATGAAACCTGTGGCATCATGCAAAGTTTTCAGGCCTCACCGACGCAGCGACGTCGTACTCCAGTTGTGGCCAGAAGCGTCGAGCAACGGTCGAGATGTGTAGAGTCTTATTGTTCAGCCAGTGGGGGTCAGCGCCAGCCAACACGCACAAGTTGTGGAGCCAAGACGTTGACGCGGCCTTATACACGGGGCAGTAGGTGAGGCCATCTTTCCTGCAGGAGGAAGAGAACAAACATGTTTTGAACCTGGTGATACAGTACGTAGATGCTCGTTCTAATTTCTTAATTTAAATTAATGATTTAAATCAAAACAATTTATATTAGTGATATCTTTTTTGTGACCATAGTTCTCTTTTCAAGCTACGAATGATTTGTTTACCTGTCAATGTAGAGCACATCATAGTTGGCTGAAGGAGGATACCTGAAGTTTGAGTCCGCACTCCCTCTTGTCCGGTACTTCCCAAGGCCATACTTTACACAAGTCCCCCGCATTCTTTTTCTACGCAACGCAAAATCTTCTTCGGCCTTTAGCATCTCCTCAGAAGATAGAACCGGAGACTCAGACAAGACCGTATTTTCAGATGGAGACTTGCGAGTTTTCGGATGTTTTGTGGATGCTCGAGCTTTTTCGTCATCCAAGATGATGTTGTTATAACGGTTGTCAACAGGTTCACTCAAATTTTCAAATTCCGATTGAAGATGACTTTGTTCATCTAAAATTTCTTGTCCAGTTTCAGGGCCTTGTGGCTTGCTGTTAACTAAGAACATAACATCATCATCCTCAAGTGACGTCACAAAATCTTCATCGATAATGTCCGGCTCATGTCGACCTGAGAAGTAAGAACACGCGTTTGTAAATAGTTTAAACTCGTTAAAAGAAATTCAGTAGAATGATTTGTCAACGTGTGAAGCTAAACAGAAGCCAATCCCACCACATAATAAATTTTTAAATTAATGTATGGGGCTGTAAGCTAATGAAATATTCAGAAATCATCACTAAACTTGTCCATCAAGCTAAAGATAATCTCAAAATCTTAGATTACCAGAGTGATCGGGTATGATGCCGGTAGTGTTCATCATTTAGTCCTATCTGCCATCGATATCGACCCGATTGTTAAAACTATTTCAGGTATTAGGTTAAATTTATGCTTCACGTTCGGTTTGAATTCATATAACTCCGGGCAAAAATTTCTAGAAAACTATCGTGCGAAATGCTTATCGTTTTGGTTGTAGGAAAGTAGTCCCTAGTTGTATTTAAATTAGTAAAAGTAATTATAAACACATTTGTTAAAGTAATATTATTACTATTACTTATAGTAATAGTAATTACCCGTATTAAATAGCGATAGTAATTATAATAATGGTAGAAATAATTATTGCCAAATTAATCCTAATATTTATGTTGATTAGGCTAAATGTGGCCTGTCGCCGAGTTTAGATGAGGCAGAATTTTTGCAGCTCAATGAAAATTCAGGCATGCAACTCACTCCTTCTGCATGGCTGTACCTAACAATCATGATACTTCGCCGATTTCGACAAGAATTTTAACGGCTGACATGGATCGAACCCGACCTCGATTTTGCCAAGGCATTTGATAGTGTTCCGCATGAGCGACTGTTACGTAAAGTGAATTCTTTGGGAATAGAGGGAAATGTACTCCAATGGATCAGGAATTTCCTAGTAAGCAGAAGACAACGTGTCAGCATTAACGGAACCGTATCAGACTGGGTAACTGTGCGCAGTGGCGTACCGCAAGGAAGCGTTCTTGGACCTGTTTTGTTCGTCGCTTTTATGAACGATCTACCAGAAGTAGTGTCAAGCGTGTGCTCCATGTATGCCGATGACACAAAAGTTTATAATACAGTTAAGGATGCGTCAAATAAAATGCAACTGCAAAGTGATCTTGATAGTTTAGTTGACTGGGCTGATGCGTGGCAGCTGCGTTTCAATGCTGACAAGTGTAAAGTACTTCACCTCGGCAAGAACAATGAGCAGCAAGCTTACTGCATGAGAAGACACGGTTGCAACTAGAGGGTTATGATTGAGAAGTCTTGCGTGGAAAAAGATCTTGGAGTTTGTGTCGACAAGGAGCTACAATTTTATAGGCATATTGAAACGCAAGTTAATACATCCAATAAACTGCTTGGGCTGATCAGACGAGTACCTAGATATAGAAATGATGAAGCTGTTGTTCACCTCTGTCGTGCGCCCGAACCTAGAGTTTGGAAACGTTGTGTGGTCACCGAGACTTGAAAAGGACAAAAATTTAGTCATGAGTGTTCAAAGACGTGCAACAAGGATAATTCCAGGCTCAAAGGGCAAGTCTTATGAAGAAAGATTGAAGATTATAAAGCTTCCCAGTCTCCATTATCGTCGCCTGCGTGGTGACCTCATTGAAGTATACAAGTATACTCATGGTTTGTACAAGGTCCCAGAAGGATTACTAGAATTTGAAACAAGAACCGACACCGGGAGCCACAGCTATAAACTAAAAAAACTGCGGTGCAACTTATCCACGCGACAACATTTCTTGTCGCTTCGAGTCACTGACATGTGGAACAGCCTCCCTGAAGATATTGTTGACAATCCGAGTATGAACGCGTTCAAGAACAGACTAGACAAGGCCATGCATGAGCACATGTTTAGTCTTAAAATGCCTCGTACCCTACGAAACAACTGATATCTAGAAGCGATTTTAAATCTACCGTCCGTTGAAAACATCTGATCAAAAGGCCAGTCTAGTCAAGAAAAGTACAAGAATCGGCGACAGGCCTATCCAGGCCCATTCTTTAATGCCGAAGATACTATACTACTTCTACTATACTATACTATACTATACTATACTATACTATACTATACTATACTATACTATACTATACTATACTATACTATCCTATACTATTATACTATACTATACTATACTATACTATACTATACTATACTATACTATACTATACTATACTATACTATACCGCGCTTCTACGTGGCCTGCTGCCTCAGAGATGATTATATAAGAATTTGTACGTCTGATGACTAACAATATAATTTATTTATAAATGATCCTGGCAATCATATTAGTGAAATCCTCGTCATTATTAGTCTTAGGTTGTCCAGTGGTTAAAGTTCAGAGTACCAAGATTGGAGCAGAGAGGCGCGGGTTCGATCCCAGCTCTGTGCGCCAGTTTCTGGTCAGAATCGGCAAGGAGGCCGGGCGGGCACAGCAGAATTGTAGCAGTGAGTTGTGAGTTCGAGACCGCAAAATGCTGTGAATGTTCTGCGATGTTAAGAATCGGCGACAGGCCTATGGCCTAATAAACGCTGAAACCGCTATTATCTTATTACCTTATCTTATTGTGCCCCATCCTAAAACAAATTGTTAGTTTCCGACGTTTTATCATCGAAAAGTAAGATGAATCATCGAAAAACATTAGCTCACTTCAATGTACCATACAATAGAGACCATAACTGACCTGCAACAGAGATGGTAACGCTGATACTCAATATCCTGACGACACCAAGTACCAGTAATACCGCTAGATACCATCTGCGGGTCCCCTTGGTCAGCTGGTTCCAGGCGACCAATGGCCAAAGATGCACGGCCTCGCACATGACCATATTTCAAGGGTCCAGAGCCACGTAATTCCAGGGTCCATATAGCAACATTAATTAGATTAATATTCGCACATGCGTCGGCCAGCAGTTTTGGTTGTTGCTTCGTATTTCTGCGAACCCAACATCAAAGATTACATACAGGCGTTGGAGAGCAAGAGGTATTTTTGGGATGTTGTGTGGTCCCGTTACCAACACCGCTAAGAGTAAGAGAAAAAATAGCAAAATGGGTAACAGAGCTTAAGTAGTTTATTTGATTAATGGCTGAATTGTTTCAACAGCTTTTGTAAAGCTAGATTATTACCCGTGCGTTAGTGTAAAAGTGACAGTGCAGCAATAAAATGTTTATAAAGTTCAAAAGTAACCGGCATATTTTTTCGGCAGAAATGTAATAGGAATCTCAAGCTATAAAATGAGGTATATTACGTCACTGCATGAAGGCTGATTGCTCGAGCTTTTTCGTAATACTAGAAACTCTTCAATTTAAAGTTATGAAAATTGTTATCAAATTACCTACATCAAATAGACATGAAATTCAAGATTTTAAGATTGCCTGGGATTTACAAAAAGGAAACAAATGCTAAGAAACTTTGCTGGATTCTTATCAAAAATTTCTCGCATCCCAGCTTCATCCCCGCATAAAAACCCCTCAAGAATTTACATTTAATCAATAGAACTATTAGGTTTACTCAGAAGAGCTTGAAAGCTAAACCACCCTGGATACATGCGAAGTAGCGTGATATCCAAAAAGTTGACAATTCAAAGCGGATAATATATGTCTTGTTGTTTATTATGTTAATATATGCATTGTTGAGACTAGGAACAACGGTAATTTTGTCAGTCATACGCATAAAATTTCCAATATGTTTGACGATACTGCACGCTTTTACTTATAAAAGACTTTTTACTTAAATCGCTTTTCCTTTCTAAGCACTTATAGACTTAAATCGCTAGGGTGTAAATTTTGTCATTTAGGTTTCGCTTGTATTTATGGAACTTTTGAACTGATGGAGCTTGTCTCAGTGAGGTTGACAATAGAAATATAATAAGCTTTTTTGGATGCATTAGCTCGCATTAGGAAATACAATAAACTTTTTTTGAAGTTTACTATGATTTTTAAGTATATGTAGTTTAGATTTAAACGATCATCTTACCACAAAAACCTGCTAGTATAATTATCTTAAAAAAGTACCCTGATACAGACAAGCTAGGTTAACACCCGAAAGATGTTTTCAAGGTCAATCCCTTACATTCATAAGGTCGGAGTGAGGCTCTAATTTGGTGGAGATGGCACAACTGAATGTTACTTATATATAACAAATTAAACGTAAATTTTATGCCTCGGTCATAACAATCGGTCAAGGTTATCCATTCCATTCACACGGGAATATTCATTCACTTCTCAGCTTCAAATAAACGCAGCGAGTGAGCTATTTTAATCATATTGACCACGGTACGCATATTCTCCAGATTGTCATTTAGTTCGGGCCACAATACTGATTACTGAACCAAAACAACGCAGAGAATTTTTGTAACATCACACTCCTTCAAAGGATATCTTGACTTGTCACTATCACAGACTGAACTCGTGTGGTGAAGAAGAACGTTTGCAGGCTAATGCCGCAAAGTGCAAACAGGTTTCGGAGACGCCCGACAAGCGACAACCTGTCTGCTGCCAGCCGGGTATCATCCATGTTCGCCTAGTTATTCTAGTTCAGTTGTACCTCATCGCGTAGGGTAATCTGTCTGAATATTACTGTACTTAATCCCGCAGAGCATTCATGTACAATTGTACGAAATTCTGTAGCGTATTCTATCTCAACTGTACCAAATAACGTAGTGCATTTTTGTGCTATATTATTATTGTACACTCTGGCTCAAAGCGACTCGGTGTTGGGATGTAAACTGGTGGAAAACTTTTTGAATTTATACTTCAAAAATTATTATATAATCACTAGAGCATGACTAATGAAATTTTTACAGGACAATACCGTCACGTATGCAATAAAAGTTTTAAATCTACAGTATAATTGGGGGACCGACTAGTTTTGAATATAATTTCAAGAGATTATTTTCAATTTATATATACACATATGGAGTGAAGATGATATAGGTGGTATCATAACAGGGTATCGTTGCTGCACCTGCTGCTGGGAGTTTGGTTTCGTGGGACGCTTTAATTATACTCCGTGCTTGAAAATTCCGGATCAGTTCGGCCGTTTACGTGGTTGCGTCCACGTAAACGTAACTCGGACAGAATGCAGCAAGATGATCGATAAAACTCTCCGTTTACTTGAACAGTATTAGATTAAATTATTTATGCCTAATTAAAGATCAATTTCCATATGTCACTAAAGGTCACAACTAAAAAGTTATCTAATGCGAACCATAAGGTCTAATTAAGTGAATTATGGTTTAACCCTTCCATACAATAATTACGATCAATCAAACAACTTATAAATTCAATTTACTTTATTATAATTGAGGAATTTATCACCACACTAGAATTAAAAATAATCACTTAACTTAAAACAGCGATGATTGCAAAAATTATGACCACCGTAGAATTAATGATGATTTTGTGTACATGCTGAGAATAGAATGTTTTAAATGCATTCAATGCTAAAAATTAAAACCAACTCGTACGTAATCATTAAACGTTCCAAATGATCGCAGAAGCTGGCGATTCATTAATGTCAATTATAACATAACATAGTGATGTCGGCGCTGAAGAGTAGGCCTTTTCCTTATCATTGTTTCTGCCTGGCTCGATAAGGTGGCCGTTTGAAATTTAGCCAGGATAATAATTTACTGTTCTGATAGCAAGTATTTACCTGGCCATCATTTTTGTTGGAAATTTAAATTTCGAAAGAAATAATGGTATCAAAATGAACCCCGAAGTGTGTGGAGTTCAATGGTATGATCGCTTTTTTCGAAAATTTCTGAGGTGGCCAGTCGCCAATTCTTGAACTTTTCGTGCCTCGTTCACAGAAGATCTAAAATCGTTACATTTGACCGGATCTTTTCATAACTGACGATAGTTTGAAGTAGCTACTAGACTTCCACCGGGTTCAATATGGTGCTAGGCATTTCAAGTCAGAACATATATTTTTCAATAGCTTTACAGTATCTAGCCTGTTCTTGAACGCGTTCATAGGGAAACATGGGGCAGCGCGCCCCCCCCTTTTTTAAACTAAAATTTTGATGAAGTTTGAATTGATACGAGGTGGTTCTTTGTTTTGTTCAAAGGTATAACACTAATGAGGAATGTATGATGTGAATTAGACACCTATAGAGTTATTCAATTTTTAATGAAACATTATTTTGTAAAAAGTGTCAAAATGGGCCCATTGTCCCACCCTTGGGGCAATGGGCCCATGAGCTTGGGGCGAGGCGCCCACCCTTGGTCCCTTTACCACAATTGCATATTTTTCGTTTAAAAATGACAAAAAAACACTTTACAGTTAAAAATAAGAAAAATGTAATAAAATATGACATTCATTCAATTATTAACAACTCAAAAAATCATATCCTTAAATTGAAAAATATATACTCTTGGCTCTATCACTGACGCGAAGAAAAATATTTCATTGACATAAAAATATATATCCTTGACTTGAAAAATAAGTCCTTGCTATAAAAAATTCGTCCTTGACATGAAAAAATGGATCCTTGACATGAAAAAATGGATCCTTGACTAGAAAAAATATATTTAGTTGATCAGAAAAAACTTCGTTCCAGTTTCGTCCATGATCCAGATATTATCTGCAGAGAATTCATACCTAATCGCGATTTCAGCCAACACCATAAAAAACTCATCAACTTTTGGCTCATTGGTGTTGACTGAAATCAACTCTTGGCGAGGCAAGAGTCAATAACTCGATAAGGGGTCATAAATACGCATAACTAGAAACTAAACCTGCTGCCTTGAGGCGGCAAATCAAAAAATCATGCAATATGAAGTGTAATTCAAAAAGCTAGTCATAGTTTTGAAAAGGTCATTAAGACAAATCTAATGATGTATAACACAAGACTTCACCATGGGCGCTTTGTCCCGTGACATGCGTGGGCCCGTTGCCCCACTCGGTATCATTTCATTTTATATCGTGTCAACATTTTATTTTAAAAGCTAATAGTCTAACCTTGATCTCAAAATTATCCCTATAAATATTACTTTTAAAAGATAATTCACAGTAATTTCAAAAGCTTCATCAACAGTAATCGAAAACAGTTTTATTTAGCAGGAAAATATTTTATTTGGACTAAAACAGTTATTCACAAATAACTTAATAACGCAAACACTTAGCAAAACGTAAATTTGTACACTTCATCCCAGTGAAACTGTCGACCGGCGGTAGAGAACACGGACCAATATCTGCCATACTTAGCGAGAAACCCGCTATGGGCCCATAACCCGCAGTGGGCTCGCTGCCCCATGGTACCCTACTCGGAGCGCCAACGATGTAATCAGGGAGGCTGTTCCACATGTCGGTGATTCGAAGCGAGAAGAAATGTTGTCGCGTGGATAAGTTGCAGCTCAGTTTTTTAGTTTATAGCCGTGGACCCTGGTGTTGGTTCTTGTTTCAAATTCTAGTAATCCTTCGGGGACCTTGTACAAACCATGAGTATACTTGTATACCTCATGCAGTGAGGTCCCCACGCAGACGTTGATAACTAAGGCTTGGAAGCTTCATAATCTTTAACCTTTCTCTATAGGACTTGCCCTTCAAGCCTGGAATTATCCTTGTTGCACGTCTACTAAAATTCTCTATTAAATTTTTGTCTTTTTAAAATCTCGGTAACCACATAACGTTTCCAAACTCTAGATTCGGGCGCACGACAGCAACAAACAACTCCTTCATCGCTTCTGCATCTAGGAACTCGTAAGAATGTCTGATTAGTCCAAGAAGTTTGTTGGATGTGTTAGCTTGCGTTTCAACATGCTTAGAAAATTTTAGCTCCTTGTCGACATAAACTCCGAGATCTTTTTCCACATTGGACTTTTCAATCATTACTCTCTCTTTGCAATCATGTCTTTGTCTTCTCATACTGTAATTTTGTTGTTCATTGTTCTTCCCGAGATGAAGCATACTTTACACTTGTCAGCATTAAACCGCAGCTGCCACGTATCAGCCCGGTTAACTAAACTGTCAATATCATCTTGCATTTGTGCTGTATTTGACGCATCCTTCACTGTATTATAAATTTTTGTGTCGTCGGCGTACGCCGTACATGGAGCACACGCTGGACAATGCTTCTGGTAGATCGTTTATAAAAGCAACAAATAAAATAGGCTCAAGAACGCTTCCTTGTGGCACGCCACTGCGGACTGACTGATGATGCGCAATCGTATATTATTGTGATCGCCATTACTTACGAGCATTCGACTCTGATGTCGTTAAATTTTAACATGCATACAATTGATTTCATGTTATTCTTTCTTAGTATCCTTATTATGTTTTTCGGACGCAGAAGTCCCATGCCACGATAATGGATTCAATTATCAACCAGTGTTATTCAAGATATATATAGTTACTCAACGATATGCTCACCATCCATGACTTTAACGGAACATAAAACATTAATTATAACCAATGGCGTCGACGCGGATAGCATCTCGCGTGTATGTGGTTAGCAGTGGAGGTTTAAAAGCTGTTGGTGCACTTACACCCACGGCAGATACTCAGTGCAGTTGAAGGCCTTGCGCAGTGTCCCTGTCAAGGCTGGGGCGGTAAATGAACAATGTTTCTCTGGTGGCTCTGTGCGTTGTAGTTCACAATAATCCTCACGCTGACACCATCTGGTGCGCAGTTCATATTTTTACGTTAATCAGACTTGCGTAATTTTTTCAACGTTTTCCGTAAGTGACAGTGATAACTGAGCTAAGTTTTTTTGAGGCTTACGACGCTCAAACAGCCAGTGCTTTTTTTGTTCATACAAAACATCATGGCGACAGCCGAGACCAGCGTAGGAGTAATTTTTCGAATGCTCTTCGCTAGCTACTTACTAGATACACCAAAAACTGACATGAACTTCAAGTCCATTTCATGTCAACCCGACGTATCAGGTAAGATCACGTGCATTGTGTTCATCATCAGTGGCTAACGAATCTGCGTACTAAAAGTACCTGTTACTATTCACAATTAAACTTTAATCAAATGCTCAACTTAGAAATCTGAAGTTTTTATTGAATACAAGCATTCAAAAGAACTAATTCCGAAAATACCTTCACATTAAGTAGGCTAATTATATTTGTCATCCTCCAGCCGTGTTTGGTAATCGTAATGCTTAAAAAAAATATTCCTACGAAATCGAGGTCTCGGCATCGAATAACGCGATATCGACTAGTAAATTGATAGATTTGTGGTGCTTATTAAAAGCTAGTTCCTGTCGCGACTTAGTAAATCCAATAGGTAAAAAATATAAAACAAAAACTTCATAACTTATTGATGAAGTGCACATCTACGTGTGTCGGCAGTTTGCTACGACATCTACGGACAGCAGGAAGAGTTCGCGCTAACAGCGCCGTGGTCCGGCACTGCGGACCGTCCGATGACACTCATCCCCTTCAGCCCTGCCCAGCTCAACACCACCTTCTTGCTCACTTCCAGCCCCAACCAGACGCTCCCCCTGGTACGACAACCTGCCGACCTAGCGAATGACTGAAAATGCCTGTAAATTTCTGTTCAAATGGTTGCATTGTACTTATGAAATAGGAATATGTTTTACTAAACTAAACATGAATAATTACTACCCAACTTGAAGCCTTCCAAGGGTATTCAAATTTTTTTTAATAATAATCATCCCATCAGGTGCTTGATCTGCACAACAAGACTGTTCTCTACAAAGCACCTCTAAATCTCGACGGCAAAGTTTACCTAATCACGCACGGCTATCGCTCGAATGGCAGCTCCTCTTGGGCAAAGGTATAGTGAGTGGGGCAGACATGGGAAGCAGAATAATCTAGATTAATTCCCATTTTTAGCGCATTTTCTCATATATGGAAAAAATGCACTATTGTGTTCGCCATGTCCGTCTGTCTGTCTGTCCGTCTGCCCGTCCATCCGTGACCTCAAGTTTTCGTCGACGAGAAAATGCGCTCTCTGTCGCTCACTGCAGTGAGTACTGAGTTATATTTTTTATGTTTGGTTGTTTCAACAGGATGGTTTCATTGCCACTGTTGTGTTTCAAGGCCGAACCGTTTGCAGCTTTACGCTAGGATTCATTTTTTCAACGTGAAGAATGTTTACTTGTCAGAAATACTACTCGATGATTTTCCGACCTGATAATCTAGTTACAATCCGATAATCGAGACAGTAACTGATGACCATTTACGTACGTAACAGGCCATCACGGAATTAAATCAGCACTTTTGTTTTTTTTTTCCGCGGCTTACACAGCGTCCTCGGCCAAATCCTACTTGTCATGGAGTTACCCCTCCTTCACTCAGAATCCGATTTGTTATGCACAGTAAATGTAAGAGGAACCTACGTTTATTTAAGCGATGCTATGCGATGAGCATTGTACACTGAATAGATAGATGGAGAAAAATTTATCTAATCGCTATTTTCACGATAAATCCGGCATGATGACATGCCGGAAAGATTTAAGTTATTATTGCTTCCATTTGTTAATGCATCACATGAATATTGAGTCCTTTCATTATTATTATCATCATGATCGTGTTAAACAAGTTCTCATGGATAGTTCATGAAGCTTTCTAAAGCCGCATTACATGGTGGTTGAAGATAACAGCCCCGCGTATGCGTGTATATTCACGGGTCAAATTTTCATCTTCCTAGGAATGTTGCAAAGCTAAAGAGTACAACGAATGCGATGGTGTCGAATTATACGGTACTCAATCGACCGGCCGGTGTTAAACAACGGTCGGACAATTATTTCACGATTTTTCTCTTCGAACTACGTGTACGACTTAATTTTAACTGTCGGTAAATCATGCACGAATCTTATATTAATGAAAAGTGAAATAAAGTAGCCGTTGCTGACCTGATCAATATTGAGGTAAAATCAACAATATTTGACGTAATTCTTGTCCAGTTGCTGACCGGGGAGCTGATGAGAGCCAATAGCTCCAATAACGTCGTGGTGGTGAACTGGTCCAAGGGCGCCAACGTCGACTACGCGCAGTCTGTAGCGAATATCAGGGTGGTGGCTCGACAGCTCGCCTTCTTAATCAACAGCTTACAGGTTACTTTATAAAGCTAACATATATTACGTAGCTCATTAAACACAAATTAATGACTCATTCTATATTCCATATTATTTCCCACTAAGTGAAGGCACTGATGATATGCGTTCATTGCTCAGGTGATACAGGGGATCCCGAGTCACAGCTTCCATCTGATAGGCCACAGTCTGGGGGCGCACGTGTGTGGTATCGCCGGCACTTATTTAAAACAAAGATACGGCACAACTATTCAAAGGTGCGATGACTTCTCAAATAATACCAATTCTTGTTCATGCAACAAGGCTTTCTATACATATGAAAGCGTTCAGTAAAATACTAAGGTAGCACTTGGTTTAAATGAGATTTTTCTGTAGTTTTATTTCTCGAAGATTGAAAAATCATCATGTCAAATTGAAATTATTGTTCAATTTCTCTTTACCTCACGTGTCCCCTTTTTTACCGATGTCAAACTGCATTGGAACTGTGCCTACACTTTTAACGATTGTAATGTAAATGTTTTCCAGTGATTCGTTTTGTGTACTCACTCATTTCTTCTTGTTCCGAGTGCACCTATTTTAGCGTGAATTAAGACCATAAATCATATAAGAATGAAAATCATCAATATATAAAGAGGAGAATCACCAATATATACGTAAATATAACTATTACCAAAAAAGTTTTGGTAAATCTCACAAATTTGAGTGAAGAATTTAATCAACGAAATAAATTCAAGAAGGCAAACTTTGAGTGAAATAACTTGAAATGTTCGTTGCAGGATCACAGGCCTGGACCCGGCGCACCCTCTACACGGCGCCCCGGAGCTTATCACGCGACTTGACCCGAGCGACGCCGCGTTCGTTGATGTCATCCACACCGACAACTACGCCATCCTCGGCTTCCCCATGAGTGAGTCTAATAAATAATTAAATAATTATAAATAATTTACTAGTAAACAAAATTCAGGGAAAATTCTCTTTAACTTCGCTGTTGCATGACCCGAGCAACGCTGTGTTCGTAGATATTACCCATACATCATCAGTTGGTCTAACTAAGAATTTACAAACCAAAAAATCGCAAAGTAAACTTACCAAAACTCACCGAAACCTCAATGAATTTATGATAAATTTATCTGCCATTTGCTTTGTTTTTAAATTCTTGCTGGATTTGCGATTTATTTAAGCAAACTCATGATGTAAATACATGCATCTACGTAAGTCTAACTTATGTTGCAACTGTAATCGTACGTTATTCTGCTACTTATGAAAATGATTTATAGCGTTGGTGCTAACAATGCAAAGAAACTTCATATGAATCAAATATTATTTTTTATTTTTTTTCTCTCATGTGTGAATTCAATCAATCAAATAGCCGTTGGCATAATGAACCCAATCGGGCACCTGGACTTCTACCCTAACGGTGGCGGTCCCCAGCCTGGCTGCATTGGAGGTGAGATCGCGGAACAATGTCTATGGCATTCTGCCCAAAACGCACACTGTTATTTTAGCAACATACTGTATATTGGTCGTTATTTTTTATTGCCTAATGCAGATCCCCTACCATTACATTTATATTGCTTATCGCTCCTATTCCATTTCCTGTATTTAAAACCTCATGCTGACTTCATACTGTCCATCTTCCGTTCCACTGCTGTATTTTTTGCCCATTTTTTACCTATTTTTCCTTTTGAGGCATATTGGATGCGTGAATTATGAGGGCAGCTCAAGTTATGAAGTTGTTATGAATAAATAAAAAAGAAAAAGCAACAATTTCCTAATGAGAGGATCATTTCAAAGAATAATAATACAACCGTGACCTGCAGAGGACATCAAGTGTTCGCATGCGCGCGCCATTCAATTCTTCATAGAGTCGGTGCGGCAGGAGTGCTCCTTCCTGGCCGTCCGCTGCCCTTCACACCAGATGCTGCTCAAGGTGGGCAGTGAGAGGATATATTTTCCTGAACATTATATACAATAACTATATAATTCTAGTGTTGATTATACGATAATAGGATAATGCTAGTTTTGACTATACGATTGCTGGATAATTCTAGTGTTGACTAGTACGAGAGCTGGATAATTCTATAGTGTTGATTATACAATAACTGGATTATTCTAGTGTTGACTATACGATAACTGGATAAATGTAGTGTTGTCTATACAATAACTGGATAATTCTAGTGTTGACTAATAACGATAACTGGATTGTTCTAGTGTTGAATGAAAGCAAAACTGAATAATTCCAGTGTTGAATAATACTATAACGTGATTATCCAGGTGTTGAATAAAACCAAAACTGAATCATTCCAATGCTGACTAATACGATAACTAGATTATTCGGGTGCTAAATAAAAGCAAAACTAAATAATTCCAGTGTTCAATAATACAATATCTGGATTCGTCTTATGTTGACTAATACAATATCTAGATTCGTCTAGTGTTGGGTAATACAATAACTAGACGGTTCTACTGTTGACTGATACGATAACTGGATAGTTCCAGCGTTGACTTTTATATTAACTGAATAATTCCAGTCTTGAATAATACGATAATTAGATCATTACACTGTTGACTATAAGACCTAAACCTATTTTTTTATTTACGCCCAAGTTAGTGCGGCCAGATTGCTTAATCCAATCATCCGCTGGCACTGCCAACGATTTTTCCTCACGCGGGTCATAGCGGTCATTGCGGGTCCGGTGCTCAAATGTAAGCTTTAATTAAGTCAAGCTCAATAGCAGATTTTCCCAGATGAATTTTTGGTCTTAGTCTCATAATTGTTTTCCGGGCCTTTTACTTTTTTACGTCAGTGTGATGGAGAGTAATTCGAAGCTACCACCGCACCATTCTACATAAAAGCGAATTATCATCTAAGAAATTACGAATGGATTGAAATGGTCACTTTGGTGAAATCAGAGTTACTTACGTTCTAAAACAAAATCGACATCAAACTATTACAACGCGATACGTGATTTTCAACTGTAGATATTATGTCTGCTTTCTATGCATAAGTGACGTATCATATCCCACCAGGCTTTGACTGAAATAACTTTGACCAAGCCTTGTTTCCACGAAATCAATTCGTACTTAACGTGGTTTCAGTGTCATTTCCCTGCGAGGGATCCCACCGCCATCAGTATCCTGTTCTGAAGTTTTATGGCATAACTTTTCGTTACGATGCTTACTTATAGTTAGTTCTTTCTCTTCTTCACTTACTAATTTTTAACTCTTTACATAATTTTCATTTAGTAATTCTTCTCACATGATAATGTAAGTTTTTTTACCTAGATACACCTCATCGGTGTCTTGTAAAACCGCACTAGGACCTATAAAATAAGATGACTTCACCGTTCGACTGTCGTCCCGATTTCGTTCTCGTTACTGCGTTACCGAAAACTCACGTCTTGCGTGAGCTTTTTGCTCTCGTGCGCAGTGATTGGGATATGCACAACACCCATGCACGCGCGCACTTGCCAGCAGACAGCAAGTAAGCGCTCGCACTCCCTCAACCCAAGAGAGAGCCGAGCGCAAACTTCTATCCGCGTGCGCCAGACGAGATAAAGCAGACACTCGCTTTGAAAAGAGCAGCATTGAAAATCTTCACATAAACTCACGGCAATCAATGCAGTACATGATTATAATCATAATCGCGACACTAAATTGCTTCATGTTTATATTATAGATGCTACAGGTGTATTAACTTTCAGGGGGAATGCTGGGGATGCAAACCACCTCACGAGTGTTCAGAAATGGGGCTCAGGACTGTCCCGATGGACCTGCCTGTCAACTCGAAGTTCTTCCTACTAACGCACGATTCCTCCCCTTATTGTGGTCAGTTCGTATACGCAGGAGATTTTCAACCGATGAAATATATTATTCTCAATTGTTGCAAAGGTTTCTCATTTTTATTATGACTGAGGTGCTCTTCCCATAGGCACAGCACACCATGCACCTTAATGCAATAACAATATATAATGTCGTGCGGCCGTGACCGAACGTTGATGCATTCTGCTAGTAAACATCTGCCCTTATTTTACTTGCTCCAAAACTTGAAACTTGCGCACGCATTTACATTAAAAAACAACACTAGTATTTCGCTCATCCATCCTTTTCAATGTGCATTCTGGCGACAGTTTCTTTCGTTGTTAATTAAGCAAGCTATTCATCGTTCAATATTGACTATCGGCCAGCACGTAAATTACACTGTCCAGGTCACCACTACTTGGTCACCATCACTGTGAGCAACAGCACCGTAGCCGCGGACCACGACGGGGAGTTCGGGCTGCTGTATCTCACGCTCGAAGGCTTCTCCAGTACCTCCAACCCCATTAGCCTCACCCCAACGTTCGTATAGAATATTATAATTTTTTTAACAAGCAGGTTATCCGGGCATTACCTGGGTAAGATAATTCCCGTTATCTTTAATCTCGCCATCCATAATATTCTCATTGTTAATCCTGCTAAGCTGGATCTCGTCATCCTAAGATTATTCACCCCGAATCAAGTCACCCCGAGTTTCGTAAACCCAAATTTTATTAACTCATATTCCTTTAATAATTTATAAAATTAAGGTAAGGTAATTATTGAGAGTCTCATTCAAATCGACGATTAACGTCAAGCTCCCATTTATCTAAAATTGTAGAATATGCGGGTCCATTTAATTTTTCTAATTTTTTTATATTATTCATGTTTTAAAGCTAATATAATCTATTATATTTGAGCTACCCCGAATCCTCCGAATAATTTTCAAGCTTAGTAGTGCGTGTTAAAAAATTCTCGTTTATACCCACGACAAAAAATACGGACGGACGTTCGCATATCAATGATGTTTATGTTACAGAACGGAATATTACAGCGCGGGATCTGTGCATCAGTACGTAGTACTTGCCAGTAACGTGGGGCAGCTACGCAAGGTACGCATCACCTTCAGGTACCCCGGCCCCTCCTTCAACCCCATGTCCTGGCGCCTCCAGGAGCCGCGTCTCTTCCTCAGCAAGGTCACAGTGCAGCTGCTCGGCGCTGAGACCTCGTGAGTGAAACAACAATTTTTCCTTCTAATGTCATAATTTTTTCAGTTCCTGGGGACTTTGTGACTCAAAATTAGAAGCATTCAGCTTATTTTTGAAGTGATATCACCTATTCTTCAAAACTCCCGATTGTTTTTAAAGAATTGGTAATATTTTATAAGGAGGTACTCACTCACGATTTTCGGTGGTCCCTCACTCACTGTGTGAACTCTTTATATGATCCTCAAGTCCGGGATCTCGGAGTTGATTAGCTGTAATAATCATTGCAAGATAATATTTGGTCGATATAATTACTGATCTATATAGACTGTGGGCTGTTGGTAATAAATGGATTATTATTGCGCGTACCCACCTAGATTCTGAAAGTTCAATTTACAGCCATACTTTCAAAACTGATTGCACTAGAAATTTCCAGAATTTCGTCTCCAGTACATAATGTCAGAGAGAAAGTAATTGATTATTGTTAATAACTATCAATCTGTTGAGTTTGTTATTTTTTCAATTATTTGTTTCGATCTTTTCCGCTAGTTTGATTGATTGCTTCCCGTTTGCAGATACGAATTTTGCTTCGACGCATCGGAACAGAGGAGCGGCCTGGAGTATGTACTGACACCTAACGATATTTGCCGATGCTCTGCCAGCAGCAACTGCTCCACGACAAAGTTAAATGTTCCTCTGCTGAATAAAACCCAGAGTTCGTTTACAGATAGCGTCATCTTCTGAATATAATTCATAGTTGTCTATAGATAGCGTCACAAGTATCTGCGTGACTGAGCCCGTCAAGGTGGCTTGTGATTAATGTTTGCCATGGGATTGTGTCTTCGAGTTTTGACCTCATCAAAATAATCTTGGAATACTCAATAGTCTGCACCGCACAGACAACGGATGCTCATTTCTCCACTAGCTCTCAATCTTTCATATGTAATTTTCATAATTATACGAACGTGTTCCAGTAACGCGGTTTTGAAAATCTGTATGAATGTTATCAATGTAACAATAGTTGGAAATTTTCGTGGGAAGTAAAGCTTTATTAATGAAGGAGACGAAAGTCCTTTATTGCTCAGATGTTAGCTGTAATGTGATAGTGCCCATTGTAATGTAAATACCATACCTAAGGTGTTTTGATGTTACTTTAGCATTCATTTATTCCGAGCGTTTTGCGTTTTTAAAATTTATTATTATGGACACGGTTGATGAAGAATTTAAGTTACATAGGCGCAACTAAGTTACCCAGTTGATGGTGAGGTTCACGAGGATCAGATTATAGACATATGAATGTCGCGTCTGTAAACAAGCCAAACTTCACTCGGTTATACCGAGACCTTGGCGGGTGAAGGCTGAACTTGGTTGGTGAAGGTTGAACTTGGCTGGTGAAGGTTGAACTTGGCTGGTGAAGGTTGAACTTGGCGGGTGAAGGTTGAACTTGGCAGGTGAAGGTTGAACTTGGCAGGTGAAGGTTGAACTTGGCAGGTGAAGGTTGAACTTGGCAGGTGAAGGTTGAACTTGGCTGGTGAAGGTTGAACTTGGCTGGTGAAGGTTGAACTTGGCTGGTGAAGGTTGAATAAGTTTGAACTTGGCTGGTGAAGTTTGAACTTGGCTGGTGAAGGTTGAACTTGGCTGGTGAAGGTTGAACTTGGCTGGTGAAGGTTGAACTTGGCGGGTGAAGGTTGAACTTGGCGGGTGAAGGTTGAACTTGGCGGGTGAAGGTTGAATTTAGCTTGGATCATGGTTGGTGGAGGTAGAAGTTGGCAGATTATTTTAGAAATCACCTGATGAGTGTAGAACTTAAAATGAGGATGGAATGGACTTCGACTGGCGCGGGAGCCAAGAAGAAACTTTTCACCTGAATTTTATCTATGAGTTAAAATTTATTCCGGCTCCGCCAAATCGCTGTCATAACAGAAAGAATATGAATAAGCCATTTTATTTAAACTCCTAAATGGAGCATCGAAACGCGGGTTTTTTCACATCGTCGCTCGTTTCTTTAAATACCTTGAAAGCTGGGCGGCAAAATTTATTATAACAGCAGTGACAGCAAGAAAAATGTAAATTAATAATTAAGGACAAAACTTTTCTTGTTGAGCATTCTAACATATGTGAGAAGTGTATCCTACTATTAACATGAATTGAACCTGTTATTCATTACTGACTTTTTTATTCGGGGCATGTTGATGCAAAATAATCGATAATCACGAATATTGTGACCATAGCTGTAGCCGTTGATGATAATTTCCAAATGATTGGTCAGCTTAGTATAAGACTCGGGCGTTCACTGGCTTACATGTGTACTTGTCTGAGGGGTTGAGGGGTGCTTGTGTCTAAGTCATGAAGACGCAAACCTTTATCATATTATAAATTGCGTGAAGTTCATAATATGGTTACTGCTTAATTCGAAATATTTTCGGCACGTTGTATAGTATTGCTTGGAATATGAAAGTATGTTCAGATTTATGTCTAAATAATACGGCAATGCTGCACTAGTTTTATTTTCCCCTGAGCCGCCTTGTCGTTTTGTATTATAAAGTTAAAATTTATCTCAACAAATATAGTACATCTCGTAATTATTCTCGCAAATATATTAGGGAAGAGTGAATTTTATGAAATGATGTGAATTTGAAATCAGTCCAATTAGATTTTTTTTCATTATTATCCTTGTTGGTAACGTCACTATTCGCTTCATGGCAATTATGTCCCAATAAACATCTTCACCACTTCAAGATAGTGCAAGCAAAATCTGTATTTTAATTACTTTGTATCATCTCTTAAAATTATTTTTCGGAGCATTCCGATTTTACAAATGAAAACGTTACAAATAGGCAAAAAGAAGAAAACTAATAGGCAGTAAAGTTACTGATAGGTATTATAATGAAATATTGAAAAAATAATGAATGTTATTGACATAAAAAAACTCCGAAAAATTTGATCGAGTCGAACTGCTAAATATATAATTGTTAAAAGTAATATATATCATCAAATGGAATTTCTGTAATAAGAGAAAAAGCTAGTGAATAATGACAGTGTATTCAAATTTCCGCTCGTGATAGAAAACACACTCTTTCCACTAAAGGAGAATAAAGTTGAGGGGTTTTGTTCATCAATCAAATTCATATTGTAATTACAGAAGTGAATGCAGTGCCTGCTCAGCACCACTGAGTGGAACCAAATCAGTGAATATAGTGTTTGATGAATGTGAAGGGCAGAGTGAGGCCTTCATATTCAAGGTTCACGGGGTACAGTGATTCTCACGTATGTACAACCGCGTGATTCTGAGGTACACAGCGTTCTGACTTTATGGGATTCACCAATAATTGCACTTAATTAATGGAATCACCAAGTGCTGAGGCCTGTATTATCATTGCACGGCAAGAAATTATAGAATGACTTTGCAATCACTGAGCATTTTCACAAATTACTGCAAAAATAAAACATATAAAGCCATCGATCGAAGTCATCAACAGAAAAATAACAATTGGCCTACCGCATCCGATAATCAGACAGCTTATTCTGATCTTATCGGCTGCTACGTGACAAACACCCCAAGTAAATTCAATAGCCAAAATCAAACCAAGCATCAAACACAAACTCCCTATTATAGACGCTTACGAATGGTTCTAAGAACTTAATTACGAACCCTCAGATTCATGCAGTTTCGGAACTTTCCGCTGTGTGACGACGCTGGATTGGATGTGATTCTTCCGTCTATTGATTGATCGTCAATTAATTGATTCCGTCACAATGTCAGGCACAAACTATCATTTCCTATCTGAGTAAACCTTAACATTACTCAAAATTCTGGATTTGAACGCGATGTAAATATAGCAGCAAAGCTACGCAATAACAGAAATAACACCTCGCTCACAGGTCTTCAGATTACACAGGTGGGAGTAAACTATTTGAATATTTGTGGGAGTAAGTAATGAATTACCAATATTGATTGGTAATTCATTGGTTATATATATATAACGACCTGTTCTCACAAGAGGGCAGCACAATATTGCTGGTTTTACCTCAAAACAAGTTTTATTCTTTAACTGTTCGCGAGTCATCAGGCTGGTAGCACATTAGCTAAAGCAAAAATGATCAAGCTTCAAGCGGCTCAAGGTCAGTGATGGTTTAGTTACTCGAACAGATAGAGCGTTGTTGAGAGACAAGCATTTTATTCTCGTCACAGTTTTGCGTCGTCCATTATGCGCCTTACTTGTCCAGAGGCGCACTGGGTATGTGTAGGCGTTCAGATTTAGACAGTTTCAAGTAATGAATAGTGTGTGGTAGTTCTTCCCTCAGCTGAATATAATTAATTTGTTATCCAACGATAACATGACAACTGCGAGCAATGCTTTGGGGCAAAATTTGCCCAGAAAACTCATATGCATTTTGTTTACCGCACTTATCATGACTATTGCGGCGGCAGATGAAGACCACACAAGTAAAACATTTCAAATGCGCTCTGACAACAGCTCAATCGGCGGCATGCACAATCAAAAAACAGGGACGATTACATGTCAGCCAGAAGTTCCCAGTACCGGTACGTATGCAAATTTTTGTTCATAGTCATGTTCATATAAATAATCTTGTTCACAGTTTTCGAAGACTCAAATCATTCATTAAAATTAGCTACTAAACTGGATCGGTTATTAATAAGCATGCCAGACCTGTCGATTATTCTGATGATTCATGTTGAGATTAAGTCCTAATTTATACATTTTAGAGTAATTTTCAACATTCGCTTGCATCCAATGTTTTATGAATAGGGTTTCAATGAAAACTTACTCACTTTGAATGAATGTACTTTGTACACTGATTAACGGGAAAAGACTTAATTTCGTTATACTCGACCTGTCGTTGTTTTCAATCAAATAATTACATCATATATTCTCTTATGGGATTAAATGTTTAGATGTTTGTCGTTATGTACTGAAATTTAGTCAAAATTTGCTAATATAATTCCTTTTGAATATCTCGCGGCTTTGTATATTGTCAAATAACCAGATTCCCATTATAAATAACTGCAGAATTTTTCTTGGTCCAATAAGCTTATGTTATTTGCATAACTTAAATTTCCTCCACTGGTTTTTCGTTAGCGTCAGTGTGCTACGACATCTACGGAGAGTTAGAGGAGTTTTCCCTCGAGTCACCGTGGTCCTCCGTCACACCCGCCATGCGCAACACCAAATTCTGGCTCACCTCCAGTCCTGATCAAGAGCGTCCACTGGTGAACCATCACAAGACGTCAACCACTTTGCTCTTCATTAAAAATACTATACAGATAATAATACTATAAAAATGTCACATAATATGTTACATGGTACTGTAAAAAGTCTTTGCACGCAACGAATTTGTTAAAGTTTCATTGCCGGAGTACAAGACTAATCAACCTATATGCTTTGCGGCAGGTTTTCATCAGAAACTGCTTTCTTTGTAGCGAAATAATTTTAATTGCTAAGCTTTTGTCGTACCGTCAGGTCCTGAATCCAAACAACACGGCTGAGTTGACCAACGCACCACTGAATGTCGAGGGCAAAGTTTACGCCCTCGTACATGACTGGAACACCGGTGGCAAATGGACGAAGGTAAGATTAAGTTAGCAGTTGCTCTATTTTAAATTGAATTGTTCTACTTGCAAATAAAGTTTGACTGGTACCATCCTTGTATCAGTCCACGAAGTAGAATCTGAGCACAGTTAACTAAACTGTTGAACTGAAAAGGACTGTTAAGGTAAAATACAATGCAGTATTTTCAACAATCAGCACCATGTAAATTTTCGATGATCATATATGGTCAATGCACGCTGAACAAAGAGATAATAAGTTCATTCAATTTAAATATTTCGTTGTTGTAGCCTGATACTCGGTATATTCATAATATACTAACGTTCTACCTTGCTAAGGGTGAATCCAAACTGCCAACTCTTCCTCTAACTTTGTTATTGCGGTCGCGTCTTTAGCTGCTGAGAAGGGAGCTGATGAGAGCCGTCAGCTCCAACAACGTGGTGGTGGTGAGGTGGTCCAATGACACCTACTCACAGTCTGTAGCGAACATCAGGGTGGTGGCTCGACAGTTGGCCTTTTTCATTAACAGATTACAGGTAAAACGATAAGAATGACACAGGATGCTTAATAACAGGATTTACCTTAAAGATTTATTGACAGTGGGTTTTAAATTTTACGAATGATAATTTAAATCTGCCTGAATTCAGAAATTTTGTTAGCAAGACTTACTGCAAAGTTACTCAAGTTACGCCTGCATTTTCCAGGTACTACGGGGTATCCCAAGTCACAGCTTCCACCTGGTAGGTCACGGTCTGGGGGCACACTTGTGTGGCATTGCCGGCACTTATTTGCAGCAGCGATATGGCATCACTGTACAGAGGTAAGATATCCTTTACCATTGTATACAGACTAACTGTATTATGAGTTTTGTAAGTCTGTATAGGTCCCTCGTGGCAATTAGTGCGGTTGTGATTTCTGGCGCTCTCTCAAAGCCTGGGTCCTGGCTCCAAACTCATCGTATTTGGATTAATAGCCTCCCAGCGGTGAGTGTCACTAGGAACTAGTGACTATACTTTTTGCCTCTGTCTCTACCGTTCTTTTGTACAAACAACGGCTATCCTATCATATACCTGCGTTTTCGCTCCATCCTCTCCCTCTATCCCCATACCCCTCCGCACGTCCTGAACCTGACGGGCTTGCCCCAGGGGGCAAGGGCTTCACAACTAACCAACCACCACGAACCCAACTTCCATCTGTCTTGTAACGTCATCCCCCTCATCCTCATCGAAATCGTCATATCAACCATCAAACCCTCACGGCTGCCCTTATTTTTAATTCGAACCCTGAGTCGAAGCGGATATTGAAAAGCTGATTTACGTGCTCTCCGAATCCTAGGCGGCCCTAATGCAGGGTCGCATATGCCGCTAAATTTTGTTAGGGTAAATTCATTGAAATTTCAGACCCAATTTCTAAAACAAATTTGAAAATTGAAGACAAAATTAATAACTTCTTGCGAAAACTTAAAGATTCTTCTGCCTTTTCACCCGAAACTTATTCCAAACTTTACATCTCTGGTTCATGTCCTGGTATTTTATATGGTTTGCCCAAAATTCATAAGTCCAATTTTGCCTCTAAGTTTCAATTCCGGCCAATTTTTGCCGCGTACAATACGCCTAGTTTAAAACTTGCTAAGTTTTTGGTACCGGTTTTAAACTGTCTCACGACTAATAAGTATACTGTAGACAATTCTTATACGTTTGTGGAACGCCTAAAAGATTTTACGAACGTTCAGGACCTAACTAATGGCCTCTTTTGACGTGGAAAATTTATTTACTAATGTGCCTCTTCATGAAACCATATATATATGCCTCAATTCTTTGTTTAAGGATGTAAATGATCTCGTTATTGGTTTGAAACGTAATTTGTTTAAATCTCTTTTGGAATTATCTGTTTTAAACTCTTTTTTCATATTTGCTAACAAGCTTTACCGACAGATTGACGGTTTGGGTATGGGTCTTCCACTCGGCCCAACCTTTGCGAATATTTTTATATATTTTCACGAGGTGTCGTGGCTGTCCAATTGCCCTCATGATTTTAAGCCAATATTCTACAACAGATACGTTGATGACACTTTTTTACTTTTTAAGCATCCTTCTCACGTTAAACTCTTTTTCGATTACCTAAATTCGCAGCATAAATCCATCAAATTTACCATGGAACTGGAATCTAACAATAGCCTATCCTTCCTCGATTGCAATATTACTAAATCTAATGGCCGTTTTTCAAACTTCTGTATTCCGAAAATCGACTTTCACAGGTCTCAGTACCAGCTTTTTTAGCTTTTGCTCCTTTCGATTTAAGATTAATGGGATTCAAACACTTTCACATCGGGGCTTTCGAATTTGTTCTACTTACAATATTCTGCACGCTGAATTCGAAGTTTTACGCAATATTTTTTCGCTTAATGGATTTCCGACTAATCTGGTGTTTACCCAAATAAAGAAATTCATAACGATAAAATACTAAACAGTCTTTTACCGAGCATGACTTTCCGTAAGTCACACACGTTGATCGTTGGTGATTTTAATCATCCAGAGCTAGACTGGATAGATGGATCCTCTCCAAGGGAAGAGAATCACCCAGCATACTTGTTCATGGAGTCAGTAAGAGACTCCTTCCTAGTCCAGCACGTTACCAAACCAACCCATTATAGAAGTAAACAGACTCCCAATATTCTAGACCTGGTGTTTACCAGTGATGAATCAATGTTGGAAGAGCTTCGTCACGAGGCTCCGTTGGGCAAAAGCAATCACCAATCATTGTTTTTCAGACTTGAGTGCTGTACAGAAAAGACGCCTCGGAAGCGTGAGCGTTTAAGGGGACCGACCTAGCTCCGGAGAAACTTCTACAGTTATTATCCGATCATTCACCAGGGGCCACGGCTATAAACTAAAAAAACAGCGTTGGAACACATCCATGCGACAACATTTCTTCTCGCTTCGAGTCACCGACATGTGGAACAGCCTCCCTGATAGCATCGTTGAAGCTCTGAGTATGAACATCTTCAAAAACAAACTAGACGAAGCTATGCAGGAGCATATGTTCAGTCTTAAAATGCCTAGCAAATTACGGATCAGGCAATAAGTCCAGCAGCTATCTCAATCAATCGTCAGCTATAGAAAGATCGGGTTCCAAAGGCCGGATCCCTTGTGAATCAAGTCACGAAAAGTTCAAGAATCGGCAACAGGCCATGGGCCTATTTCTTAAACGCCGACACTTCTATTCTATGTCCAAGCGGGACAATGAGGTTGCCCCCGAGCGCGACAGTAGGGATGTTGTTTATTGATCTCTTCCATATTTCGGCCCTGCGTCCGAAAGAGCTAACTATGTCAAGAGAGCTAAAACTTCTGTTTTTTAAGTATTTCGCAATTGTTAACCTACGTGTTATATTGGTCAACAATTTTAAAATTGGTTCTTTTTTTAGGTACAAAGATACTCTCCCTATGCATATGCGAGCGTCCCTAGTTTATGAATATAGTTGTGCACGATGTGCATCTGCGTACGTCGGGATGACGTCTCGCAATCTTTATTCTAGGGTCGCAGAACATAAGGGCAGGACGGCAGCGGCGGCCATGACTCGTGAGACATTACCTATGAGTTGTCCGTGACCCTATTGTCGAAAGATACATGCTGTTTCGTGCACGTTACTTGAATGATGATGTCATTGTTAAGCCAGAATCGTTGCACGTCTTGTCACGTTTTGTGTTATTTGATCGCCCAGCTAACTGTTATTGTAGGAGGTACAAAATGTGCAAAAGGCTCTATCAGAGAACAATTATACAGCTGAATTTTCTTGAAAAGGATTTGTATTTTTATCTAATTTTTTTATTTTAATTTATGTATGCTTTATTTTTGTTAGCTTTATATAAAAAATTTTTGCATAAAAGCCGGTGGCTTATATGATCCTCTTCTTTGGTCCTCTCCTTAATTAAGCCCTAATTTTTAATATCACATATATATAGTTTTTTCACGTAACCCTTAAATTGAGTTCAGGGACTAATTTAACCTAATAACAATCCTCATTCATTTCATTCCTTTGGATTTTTTCAACTTTTTTTGCTTTTTCATCAGTACGAGTGTTGAACGCATTTGAAGCTGAAGGAATGGCCGCCTTTACTACATTTACTAAATTTTTCATCATCTGATATTTTCATTCTATTTACTGTGTCGTGTTGTTTGATACCGTTTCTGAACGCCTACACTTACCGAATATGTTTTTAACCAAGAATCCGGAAGAAAATAAATTAACCACATTTTCATTTAAATAGTTTCGTAAGCCATCTACATCAGTTTTATATCAACTGAATGATCACGCGTTCACGGAAGCGATTAAATGTTAAATAGCCAGATAAATGGCTGATGATATTCATACTTGCATACTATAGCTATAAGCGCGGTAGAGTAGGATGCTGATGTTTTATAGCGCACTATGACAGGTTTGACGGGCATTAGTCGAGATCGATAATATCTTAATTTGAGTCTCCCAAATCCCATCATTCCAAGTCTTGTCATCATTTTAAGAACAGACATTTAACAGAATTAGTTCCATTTCTAAATGTGATGAATCTTATTTTTTATCTCAAGTGAACACACTAATTTGAATTGAATTTCAAATTTTAATTCATGATCAAACCTGTTCTCGTTTTTATGCGATGCCTTACTAGGCTCCCACAAGGAATAAAATTTCAGGTCCAGGTAACATCCCCGCACGAGAAGCAATGTAAATAAGTGCTCGAAAAACCCCTATGTTTTTAATGAGCCATGCTTCAAACACACTGACAAACACATAAACTTTTCGATACAAACGCACATTTTTATAGTTCATATGCAAAGAATTATAAACGAGGCTATCTTTTCTCCCACTTATCATTCAACATCGATTATGCGGGTCATCTTTTCGCTTTTGAATTCTCATGTTTCCACTCTATATAAAAGATTCATTCTTCTTAGTGAAATGGTCTGTAGTAACCCTCTTCTCGTCCATTTCTACCATTTTATTGATATAATAGTTAAAGATTACTTATCCACTTTTCTACCAATGTCTCCATATAATCCCGTTATATTAATTTGCATTATTTCTCTGGGATTATATTCGACCAATAGCTTGTAAAAACTCAATAAAGCTACTAGTACTTTTTCTCATAATGTAATGAATGTATACTTTGTCTCAAACAAGTTTAACATGCAAATTCCTGCCATTTCTGGTAGCTAATTTAATACAAGAATTTAATTATATGCACTGCAGTTCTGGGTTGCTCGCACTCTCGCGCTCACAAACTCTTCATGCAATCGGTGGAGCGGGACTGTCCCTTGGTGGCCGTTCGCTGCCCCTCCTATGAAATGTTCAGCAAGGTGAGTACTAAGTATAGCAATTGTGAGATGGAATTATAATCAAACTGCATCACCACTTATCGGCCCAAACAGCCCGACCCTCATCACTCACAACAGCCATCTGTCTAGAACCATCTGTCTAGAATACTAATCTTGATACGGGGTGGCAATACATGAATGATATACGATGCAGGTATCGGCTACGGCATCGACCTTTAGGTCGGAGAACTCGATTTACCGCGAGTTACATCGCGGCGTGCGTACTCGTTAGCTTCTGCGTGAGGCATTCCTATATAAGGTTCCCAGCCCATTTATATACATATCGTACCTCCATTCATCGGATTTTTGTTCTCGTGACACATATGCTGAATAATATGTCGACTAATCGTCTGAGGCAAGCTCTCAGAGACACCGTGGACTAACAGCTAACTAGGTCTGCTTGTAAACACATGAGGGTTTATTTCTACAACCTACTCTCGGACAATATGTAGTACAAGTGCTACATTTCAGGGGGAATGTCGGGGCTGCCAACCTCCCTACGATTGCGTGGAATTAGGAATAAATTTTACGGTCCCTAAGAACCTTTCTGGCAACTCTACCTACTTTATGAACGATTCTTCTCTTGATTGTGGTAAGTTCGTGCATGATATTTTTCCTGCTAGCGATGGGTTCTCTGCTTGACTGTACTGAGTTCGAGCAAGATATAAATTTCTGCTAGCGAACAATTATCATTTCATTGCATATTAAGTTCATGCGTGATATTAATTTATTCCAACGAACGATGCTCGCTCGACTATATCTTGCATGGTATACATTCTCGCTTACGAGCGCTTTCATGCCTAATTTTGGCATGGTACTTATTTCTGCTTACAAACGACTCTCCATTCGACTGTAGTTTTTGCATGAAATTCATAAACGCTTAAGAAACGATTCTTCACTCGACTGTAGTAAGATATTGCATGGTATTCATTTCTACTAGCAAAAGAATCACCACGTGACTGTAGTGACGTATTGCTTGATATTTATTGCAGCTTTCACACTATTCTTCACTTGGCTGTAGTAAGTTCATGCAACGTAAATATTTCTACTTACGCACAATATCCAGACTTCTATGAGTTATTGCATTGTTATACTTTTGAACTATTCTCCACTTGGCTGTAGTAAGTTCATGCAAGGAATTCAAACCATTCTCCACAGAACTTTAGTCAGTTCTTGCACAGTTTTCATTTTTACTTGTACACGATTCTGCATTGATTGCAATTATCATATCAACGGCAATCGTTTGTCATCGCTATGTTGATTTTCCCTCACGAACGATCACTTCTCCACTTAGATATAGTGAATGAAGCCTTGCATGGTATTAGTTTCTACGTACCAACGACCCTTAACTTGAATGTATTAGGATCTTGATTAATATTCATTTATACTCGCAAACGCTTCACTTTACTGTACTTCTTTCGTTGAATTAATTTTTTTCTAACAAAAAATATTTCATCCTGGGAGTGTCATGTTCCTCATATATTTGCCTAGTGCATTTCCTTGTTAATTTTCATGAGAACAAGTATGCAACTAAATCACGTGCACGTTTCCTATTAATCATCGATTAACCTTACATAGATGAGTTTTCATGCTGCTTTATGCTGCGTCAACATTAATATACTCAACGGGTTATTTCGTTTTAAATTTAAGTATGGTTCTGACTATATTATGACTATAAATATAAAAATTAATTGAGCCCCTTTATGCATAAACATTTTGTTGTCATTGTTCCAGAACACGAGTACCAGGTTACCATCACCATGAGCAACATACCTAGATATGAATTTCAACTAGATTTTCTTACCATCAAGGGGACTATCGGCAAAATTGGTCCCGAATATCTCAAGTCAGTAGCTCCACCTAGTATAAAAAGTATGATATTGATAGCGATTATACGATATTAATTAAAATCAGCCATTGTCTAACAATCTAAGTGATAAGATTAAAACAATACTGGGTATTTATCTATTTACGGGTATGGATATCTTTTTGAAAAGTGTCGTAATCAAGTTTGAAGAAACATGTTGAGTACAAATATAATTCCGTCTCTACGTACATGATGCACTTATATGATGCACCAGTATTTATAAATTTCGACCTAAGTATAATTAATCTGGTTACTGGTTGATTTGTATTGAAACGGCAAAAAGCTATACCAAGTACTGCCACAAACTGTAGTATTGCAATATATAACATTTAATTTGTAATGTATGATCCATGCTGGTCTTAATTTACTTTTGATTACGAAGCATGAATAAACGGTCTAATAAACACGCAAACATGAAACACAAGTATTTTCTAGCAGCGCTGTCTCGACGGGAGAGTGGTGTTGCCAAAAACGATATATACTCTGGATCACGATTTCCTGTGTAAAAACAAGCACATTTTTATTGATATTTCTTTGTTAAGTGTTTTCATGTCGCACATGATGTCTACATAGTATAATTTTGTTTAACATGCAAATATGAACATATTTAGTGGATACTACATGTAATATACATATTTAGGAAATGAAAATTAGAGTGATGGACCTTCAGTTTTGAGTGAGAACTCGAGCACTGGGTGTGAAGTACACGAGGGCGGAACGTGGTAAGGATGAGTGTTCAATGTATTACCAAACAATTTTGTGCGATAAACCTTAAAACACCTAATGTGGGACGGACGGAGGAATGAGAGAGGAAGAAAAATTATGTCGGAATTGAATCTGAGTTAAGGAGATGAGATTAATGTCACGGGCTATGCGAGAAAAAACGAGGAGTTGCCTGCAGTGACTGCGGTTTTTTTCAGTGAGAGCAACTTTGACTTTGGCTTAGAGTACTGAATCAAGTTTCAAGAGTGTGTGGAGGCAGGATAGCGCGATATTGTCTAATCAGTTTGCCTAGTCTGACGGCAAGCTTTTTTAACAAAGGCATACAAAAGCTGGTTCCAAGATACGACAATTTCTGGGAATTTCGGCCTCGATATTATGGGAATTTTGTAGGAAAATAAAATATGTCCTTTCAAGTGAATAGTCCTAGATTAATTTTGGGACAAATTTACTTGCTGTAATTTTTGTCACAAAGGTAATTACTCTAAAAACAGGCCTCGCATATTTTTTTACTTATTAGTTACAAAACTTACCATTTATACGGTTTGTGTATATGTTTTTGTGTCACATAAAATCTTTACGGTCCCTAACAATATGTTTGAAACTTGAATCTTATTTGCAATAACCGATATATTATTTATGGATCGAGAAATCAGTCTCCAAGTAAATTGACTTCAATTCCATTTGAGCATGATATTTTTAGGTTGATAGACTGCATTGTTTTGTTTTCTAAAACTAAGAAGAATCTTATAATAACGCAATAAATTTGATATCTTAAAATTAAATTTTTAGATGCAGATTAATAAACTGTACTCTTTTTTATTGGAATATGTTTTTCTACGAAATACTTTTTTTTAAACTACATGGTTCTTTATCCACTTCACTACTGGAGAGGATATTTACTTAAACCCATCTTCGTATTATTATTACAGATCCCCTAATTGGTTCCCTGCCGGATCAACACGTCGATACCTGATACGGACCAAGAGCTTGGGTTATGTGCGCAGCATAGAGATCATTTTCAACTATAAAAGCAATAGCCGCCATAATTGGGTTTCAATAATCGCAGAAACGCTCGATAACCCCATTACGAGTACGCACGCTGTAGGGGATGCAGCTGGTCCCCTTAAACCGCAAAGTAAATACGTCAGCTCAGTTACCGTGACTCGACAACGTCTATTGCCGTGATCGAAAAAGAGGTGAGTAGAATTACGATGTTTCTCATCAGGTGAAGATGGATAATAATGAAGGAGTTTCGTAATTACGTCCAGTTCGAGGTTACTGCTCATTCGCATTTGAATCACTCTAATTAGCGCTCATTTATATTCCAGTCATATCATGATACCACTGCAGTCGAAAATCTAAATTTTAAGGTACCTTCCATTAGCCACTAAATGGAAATTCAAAATTATCAATGATGAGATGTTGAGTTATTCTGTATTATTCTGTACCCCTTGCTAAACTATGGCAGGAGCTTATTAAAAAATTGGTCTACTCAGGGCCAATTCAATTACATGATTATATACCAATAATTTTTCATTCCGATTTACCCTGTTAATTGCGCTAACCGGCATCAATCAATCCGAGAATAATTCATCTAAGATATTTCTTTGGAATATATAATTGATTGAGAAGATTGAAATATTTTCCATAGCAGGAATTCTTGTATTAATCAAAACAAAGAACAAGGCTATGAGGAATTTTACACGTTTCATTACACAGTTCTTGAACTGCAATGGATACCACAAGCGACGTAATCTTATATGTAATATATTCATATTAATATTGAGGTAATAAAAATAATACATTTCAATTCATTCTAATGGTATAAAAATAATCTCGAAATCCCGGAATTATCCAAGCACATTCATACCGGGTTTAGATTCATTGTCTTCAGAAGAGGCGTTGCTTCAACTATCAATACACTACGCATGAGTTACCATGAGTCAGTTGTCACGCGATCGCATGTAGACGCCTCAGTCAGTTATTTTGTAGGAGTCTCCTGAATAATTAATCTAACGGGTATGGATTCGTCGAATCTTGGTACTGAAATTGATACTTCTTGTTATTTGTTCGTCACTTATTTTTTCTCTGGTCCCGGTCACCGTTATGCTTCTTGATTGCCGGGGCAGTGGCAACGACTGCTTCCAGGAATATCGCCGCTTCGGACGTGGCGCAGTGCGCGAGAATGTCTGCGCAGGAAGATCGTTTTGGGGGTTTTCGTCTTCGATTCTAGTTCCATTAGGTTTAGTGAGGACCGTCTCACGTCGTTGTCATCCATGAATTCCGTTCTGATGCTGAAGTCACTGCTATTTGAGTTAGTTTTACTAACGTCGTGATGAAGTCACGGTTATGGAATTAAGAGGGCATCGAATGGGAGCCAAGAAGGGCAGTGGAAGAGTGAGCAAAATCTTAGACTTGGATGTGGATAAGTTTTTGCTAACCATTTACACAGGCCATAACGAATTTACGTATTTAATTAAGTTTGTTCGGCAATTCCATTTGTATACATGTCTCGCCACTTAAAGCCATCAATGTTAACTTGCTACTCTGCCTCCACAGAGAAGTACTAAATAGTGAAGGATCGAGTGGCTGCCAAGTGGCGACTACAGCCTCAACCGCACCAGGAACTGCAGCTCCAACAACTGCATAACACCTAGCATCTGTTACTATAAGACCAGCAGCAACAACAACACTTACAGTATCAGTATCAACACCAGCACCAGATACGTCCACCAGTATATATCACTTATTCGCTCGTTACAAATCCATTTGTAGAAAAAAAACAGAACTTGCGGTCAACACATGAAGCTATCTATTAAATACATATGCAAGAATAATACATCGATACTCTACAACATACGTTTGTATATAATCATGCACCAATGTAATGATCGAAGATAGGATGATATTTTGAATTAATTAAACCTCTTGTTTGGGAGATGACCTCTCTCTTGCAAAGAATGATAGACTCTAATTACACCGATTGTTATCTTTACGACGATCTATGATGAGGAATTACAATAAAAATTATCGGTCGCATGAGACTATTGCATAGAGCCTGATTCTAGGCCATCCAATTAACAATTCGCTTCCTCAATCTCATCCGGCAGAGAAATGTCGCTCATATTTTTCGGTTAGTTTAGTATGATAAGGATAATATATTTTAATTTCTCTTTAGTTAGGTAATTTTACGAAATATTCAAAAATATTGTTGGCACAAACTATTTTCAGATGTACCGCTTGTATTTTTCACTCGCTTTTACATATATCAATATATCACTCGCATTATATTTGCTTCCGTAATTTTTTTTATCCCCAGTAGCCTATGCCAAATTTAGAAATGCTGGAAGACGAAACCTTAATTCTAAGAACAAGTCTTTCAAAGGCTGAAAAAGGTACAAAAGTCCATATTAAAAATGGGCCGACAAAAATCAGGCCAAAAGCAAGCAAGAACTTGGCACAGTCTTCTCAGCTGAAAGAACTAGTCCTCTTTTAATTTAAAGCCAATCAATCAATTCTATAACTGATACGTCGATGAAACGTTTCTAATTCTCATGCATACTTCTCATGTCTACATTTTATTGGATTACCTAAACTTGCAACAAAAATCCACCAAATTAAGCGAGGTGAATGAATTTTATAATAGGTTTTTATTTCTCGATTGCACTGTTACTAAATCTGACAGCCGTTTTCAGACTACCTTTTTCGGAAAATCAACGTTCACATACCGGTCTAAGTAACAGCTTTTTCAGCTTCTGTTCATTTCATTTCAAATTAAATGGTATTCAAAAACTAATACATCGCGGCATTCGTTTTAGTTTAAAAGGATGGCTTCATAATGAGGAACTAAGTGGGAGACCTCCAGTCATTATCGATTATCTGATTCAAAAAGTGAACTTTAATGTGAAAGAGAACGGAAGATTTATGATTTCGTCCTTAGCTGAAAATTTCCCTGTTGACTCAAAAAGTGTTTTATAAGAAATTGTCTAAATCGGTTGTGTAATCAAACGGCAAGCTTCGATGACATATCAGAGTGGTCCACGATACGATAAATGCCTAAATGTTAATAGATATTATGTAGAAATGAGTTTTGCGGCAATAAAAAATGGCCTTTCAACTGAATCAATTTTTTTAATTTATTTCTTTTGTAAAACGTCTCTTACTTTAAATACACACCTTACATTAAAAACGTCCCTCAAGTTCTTTGAAATTTCTGTTGAGAATTTTCAGTCGGCAATAGGAATTCAGTGGTATTTTTTAAGTTTAGTTCAGCAGGACTGTGGTCACGAGAGATCAAATGATGATGAGGGTTATAGAGGTGAATTAAGACATCAGGAAGATGAAGGCGATGAGTGACTTGCTGATGTTGACTTAAGACAAGGTCACGGTCAGTTGTTTGTAACTCTAGCTCTCTGGGACGAGGTTGTTGTTGTTATAGTTCCTCGGTCTCATTTTTATAAGAGACCCCCCTCGCACAAGTCAGGGACGAGGTTGAGGTACTGGACGCCTACTGTTGTATATCTGTTAGTTATAAATTGTTTACCTACTTACCTACGAGTATAACCTACTTACTACGAGTATATACTTACCTACTTTGTTTACCTACTTACCTACGAGTATAATTTGTTTCCCTACTGTATTTTTTGTGTACCTATTATATATTTTGCATAACACGGCATAATATGTATTTAGCATGCTAATTTTAAAAAAAATTTTGCCAAAATGCAAACAAGGACCCAAAGGGAAAAGCGAACCGGAACGCAAAAAGCCTTCATTTTGTACGCTAGTTCGAAGTGTACGACAGATGACGGTATCACTGATATGAAAGTAGACCAACGAAAGATATCCTCAAGGCAAAGCTAACGTTCTCAATAAGTTCTTTATAGCAGGGTGTTCACAAATGAGGACTTGAACAGCATTCCAGTTATTGAGCGCCCAGTCGGCTCGAAATTAGCAGGTTTTGAAATACACAAAGAGGTGCCAAAGCACCTGGTCGCCCTAAATCCCAACAAGCCCTGTGGACCAGACGGCTTCCGCCCTAGATTGCTCAAAGGGTTAGCACTCGTCCAACTGACCGACTGGGAAGATGCTCAGGTAACACCATTGTTCAAAAGATATAACTCAGTACTCACGACAGTGAGTGACAAAGAGCGCATTTTCTCGTGCATAAATCAGTTTTCATTGCGATTAGTACAGTGCATTAGAGCTAGAGATGTCGTATCTTTGATACAGGCATGCCCGCTTCTTAAAATCGACGAAAACGTGAAGTCACGGACGGACGGACAGACGGACAGACAGACAGACAGACAGACAGACAGACGGGCATGGCGAGCACAATACCTATTATATATTTCGTATATACATAAATTTTTGCTGATCTAAATCGTAATTAACAGTCGCTCGATCGCGCTAAGAAAACTGAATATAAGAACGCAAACTCTGCGATGACATTATTATTATTATTATCATTGTTATTATTATTCACAGATCGATGTCAGTAGCAGCGATATGGACGGGCGGGTGATTTCCTGTAAGCCTGCTGATAACCCTCAGGGATTGGGACACTAAAACTTTTCAATGAGTCTGTATAAAAAATTCAATCCAGGCATCTATGAGCTCAATACGTAAAATCAACTACATTTTTGAAGAAGTTGAAAGAGGGAAGTAAAGTTTCAGAGAATAAAGTCATTCACAATTCCAGCCGCTCTGCATCAATGCATGAAGAACTCGGCTTTCATATACTTTTTGATACATACCGTAGTTAACTTCATCAATCCGAAGGATGTTCACGATAGAACACTTTTAGATGGTAATATAATATAAATAGGGCACCGTAATAATAGATGGTAATATAATATTGAAGGATAATAATATTATATAGGTAACATTTTATTGGACAATGATTTATTACAACCTATTTAAAAAGTTTGCCTTACGAACGTTGTTAGGATTACTTCTGATAGTTGAATTTTCCGAAATGGCTGTAAGTGACAAGTGCATCTTTTTTGACAAGTGCATCTAAATTTATGAAGATTAGGCAGGGGGGCAAGGCTCGATGTCGGGTGATTGATTACTGCAGGCATATAATCACGCGGTGGCGTTTTGACGTGTTCAATGGTGCAATCAAAACTTATTCATACCTCCATATGTATATTTGAATGAATTTGATAATTGGAATGACTTTTTCGGTGACAAGAAAAGGCATAATAAACTGTAAATAAGTAAGATACTAGAATGAATTACACAAATAAGGCATGTAACTCAATATAGAAGTTGAAGTTAATATGCAATCAGAAAAATCGAGAGACATTGTTCAATTAGAGATGCATTTATTGCCTTTTTGTGCCATACTGATACAATTTTCCCGGCATAAGGACGTATCATGTAGGACAACATGCAGGAGGTACAAGTAGCTTCTGTACACGTAACTTCCATTGAAATTTTTGACTCAAGGACTTAATTAATTTGCTTTCAAACTACATTCTACTCGCTGACCATATTTTCGTTGAATGCCCAATGTGCGGCGGGTTTAATAATTGAGGCTTGCGTGCAATATATAAGCATGCATGGACTGGAAGTGCATGGCATATTGAGCTCGGACTGAAGAGAGAGAGGTCCTATCAAGTCAACCTCTTCAAGCAATCTTCGGTCATTGATTCGATGTGGCAAATTCTCTTTTGGGGGTTTACGTGTTAGTTCATGATTAGCCAAGAAATAACACTGAATATGGGGTTCAGAAGTCTGTGATCTGTTTGAGGAGAAATAATTTTCATTTCTTACCGACATATTGATCAATCGCAAACAGCTTCGTGTGGCATATCATGGCCAGAAAACTTGTATGTTTCTTGTTGGTTCAAATCGTCATGACGACGAGTGCTACTGCGAACGCTTCCGAGGTCACACTCCCTGGCTACGTCGTTACTCGCAATCGAAGCACTAGCAACATTTATTGTCAATCCAACGAAACAGGTAAAGTCGTTCGAATTGAATTAATTTTTTAAGAATGATTAAAATGATATTTCTATACGTTACCCTAAGCATATTCAGTTGTGCGTGAGATGTCGTATTCCATGGAAATTCATTTTCAGTGCGAAGTCGATGAGTTACCAATTTAAAATATAAAATTAACTTAAAGACTACTGAAAATATAATTTATTACGACTTTATGCTGTTTTGAAATTATTATCAGTAAAATTAATTAATTAATTGTGTTATCGCGCTTAATGGTTACTTAATGCTCAATTTTTATGAAAAGATTCATCATATTACATCAAAATTAAAGCGCGTTTCCACCACAGGTTCAGATTAACAATAAATGATACGATGTGTTAAATAATTAAACTATATTTCTAGATTTTCTTAATTGTCTCCATAATTACTAAGTGTCGCTCGTAGCATTTTGCTACTCCATCTACGGAGAACTGGAAGACTTCTCACCGACCGCGCCGTGGTCACATCGTATCCCATTTACCCCTGCCCAGCTCGGCACCGAATTCTGGCTCATTTCCCGTCCCAACCAGCGGCCAACCATGGTACATCATCTTACTAATGCAACTTCACTATACTTCTGCCATAGTTCGACGGAAATTTATAAAGAAATTATTTGACAACTTCAGTGAAAATACGATTTTCAACTACTTGGTCCAGCAGAAACTGATTACGTTCCCCTGCAATTTGCTATTTAATGGACTTTTTTTACGGCAACGTTTTTATCATCTCTAATTGATGTTATGCTTATCAGATACTGGATCTGAACAACAAGACTGCACTCAACAATGCATCTATGAATCTTTACGGAAAAGTTTACATACTAGTGCACGGCTGGCACTTCGGCAGTTCTTCATCGGAAAACTGGACTGAGGTACAGCGTTAGCAACTTCATAGTAGCGAGTCGTTTCTTTCGCACTTTCAAATATCCTTTTCCGCCGTTCAGCAAAGTATTTTGACATTTTCGATTCAACATTAAGCACCATTTTCTGTCATTATATTTTATTCAGTAAGACCCTTTTTTTCATTTCATTCCCTTTTCTCCGTGCATTTGGGGATTTTTTTAGAGCGAACATTACTTGAAAAAAGGCTGACAGTCGTTGAAAAAAGACTGACCTGCTTCTCGATTGTAAACTTTCAGTAAAGTAGTAAATATAATTTGCGTAGAGATTAAAACTTTTGTACTTTGCACCTTCCGAGGGTCACTTATGTTCTTTCGAACTAAACCACAATTTTCAACCCATTTTCGACCAGGCATGTTCTGAAAAATACGATACTCAATGTCGCTTCAATTGTTGCGCAAACCAGCTTTGTTTGTCCCAAAAATACCTTTATACTTATAAGTAGATAGAAAAGGAAGCCCATAATCAGTTTGCATAAGCAGCTTAAATCAGAGGTTACCGATCACTAACTCACAATCCTATTTCGAATCTTGGCCATCAAAATTTGGTTGAGCACTGTCCCCCAATCAAAACCTTACCGAGGCTTTCCAATATTTTCTAATCACCGTCAGCAAATTTTTGGAAACTAATCGTTATTAATAAGCCAAGACTTGAGCGAGTGACACATTGGAAGACTTTATATAGTAGTAATATGTAACTGATTTAAATTTTTTAAATACTTCCCAGACCCTGGGTTCTCATCTAAATTGATCAACGTAAAACTACAGGGTACTTTGTACGTTTCATTACACAGTTCTTGAAACGCTGCAAAGCGCATATCGCAAGCAATGTAATCAATATGAATGTTCTTCATTTCGATGAAAGGTAACTCAAATAGGATTGATAGCTTTGAATTCGTTCTAATGGTTTATCTTGGTGATATGTAATAGTTTTGAGATAAGTAAATTGAACTACTGTTATTATGTTTTCCACGGGTGTAAAAACTATCAGCAGTAATCTGATTCTTTTCCGTAGCATTATCAGCAAAATTGAACAAATTTTTCTTATCAGGTTCTATGTCATTTGGGTCAGGTACATACAGTGGCAGTATTCTCAAAGAATTCGATTGCACATTTTTGTTGACGTCTCTAAGGAATTTTTTTTTTACATTAATTCTGGCGGACAAGCTGACTTGCTATCAAGGAAAGTATTGTTGAAATGAAGAAAATTCTCCATAGCAACTTCTGTAGCAATGTCGTTTTTCCGCAGTTCGATCTCCCAGTTTTAAGACACATCAAACTTAGAGCAGGAAATACAAAATGGTTCTTCTGTTAATTTTTATTATCGTCTTTCCACGTAGAGAGCATTTCCTAAAGTATTATTTCTGAAATCCTTTTCAATGTTTGTTCTAATATATTCACTTGAATAAAAAACTGATTTATTTTGGTGGAGAGATCGGATATTATAAACATCAATCAGCAGCTGATAAATATTTTCAGAATTGAACATCTGCTCTCTTTGGATATTTGTTGTTGCGTCTTAAATTTTTATCAAAAAATTCATTAAGCTTTTTTTCGTCACAGGCTGCCTCGAATGACAATAGCGCGTAAATGAACTACCCTTTATTAACTTTAATTTACTTCCGTCGTAAATCACTCTATATTTTGCAATATTTTATTATGTTCATCACACTTGACTAGATAAAATGACTTTTCTAAACCGAAGCGTAAATACATCAAGTAGAGTGAATTTAGAATATATTGTTTATCAAATAATTCATATGGTAAGCTCTCCTTTTCATTAAACATGGTTATAAATCCATTTGATGAATTCGTAAGTTTTCTTTAATATTGATCTTTTCCTAAAATCACAATAGAGTTCCCATCACTAGCGAACGCTTGTTCCAAGATTGATTCTTTCCTCAATTTTGCAAGTCATTCTGAGAACTCATATTGCTTTTTCTCTACTTTCGCTGTTTCATTCATGATGGCATTTGCCCTTATTTCAACATCATTAATCTTATTTTTATTTTTTACCTGAATTCCTTCTAATGATGACACTTTTTCGTCGAGATATTTTTAATTAGCCATATGTTTTCGCCTTTTTTATCTCATTTCAGTCATTTTCTAAGTTACTTTTATGCTAAGATTTTGCAATTCTGTTTTTACTTAAATAATATCCAATTCCAATTATAATTATTATCCAATTAGTTATTATTATTTGCTCCAATATCCAATTTCAAATTCTCGACTTTAACATCGAGCGATAACAGCAAAGTAATAAATTTCCCCTCACAATGGCTTTATTAATTTTTCTTCAATATCCATTTCAAAATTCTAGACTCTGTCATCGAAAACTGACTGCAAGCTGCTAATTTTCTAATCAAGTTGTTTAATTTTTGTTTCTTCAGAAGAATCGATCTTGGACTCTGTAGGAATATGTAGGATCAAATCAGAATTTTTGTTCGGTGTTCTTAAAAGCAGCATAGAGACTAAGAGCAAACCGTATTGTTCGATCTGACGCGATTAGAGCGGTTTGACGATCCCGTAGCAGATAGCGAACTTTGTGCCTACTTACCTTGGGGTTACGGAGAGATGTGCCCGTAGTTCAGCATCTGCAGAGGTATGTTCTAGTGGCGTGTACTTATATTTACTGCGTTTCCAAGTGTTGAATATTCTGTTTGTAAATCCCAAGAATTCATTTGTAGTTTAAGATAAGGTGCAATTATTTAAGTTATTAAACTTATGCTAGACTTTGTTTCTTGTAGGGAATCGACCTGAGAAGAGGCCAGTCCCAATTATTGCCGCTCCTGAGCTCTTAGCTAGTTCACCATTAAGTTAATAATAAAACTTTCATGTGGGTAAAGCTTTTTAATTAAACCTCGGCACGAAAGATTATCACAGACTCTAAAATTTTATATCCACAGGAGTAGACTCTAAAAATTTCAAACCTAAATCCGTATTAGCTAACTCAACTTGTAAGTCTGCTGTCAGCGCAGTGATAATTGAATTGAAGGTGGAATATTCATTTCGAATAGTTTCAATTGAAGATTTAGGAGACTCTACAGGAAATACTTCAATTGAACACTTTATTTCTTCCTCGCAATCTTACAAGTTGATGAAAGATTGGAATTATTTGCATAGATGCCAGCCATTTTAAAAAGAAAAATATGAAGCAATTTTATCACCAATTCTTATTAAGATCTAAAAGGATTGATTCAAATTTCTCATACTACAGTGGTTTTAAAATTTCTAAACATAAGTTTTACAAATTACATCACCCATTTTTTGTACGCTATTGGCAGGAAAAATACTGTTTCATTTGTTCAAGTCCCTTTTGAACTCGTTAGGATATGTCAAACCATAATTATCAAAGTAAAAACAAGCATTATTTCCCTTTTACCAACAAGTCCAATGCGTTCAAGTTCCCTATTCTACATCTAGATTCAAAATTCCTGGCTCCGCTTTCAAAGATGTCTTAGGGAGTATTTCTCTCATAAAAATATCTGTGACTCTAGGTACTTTTATTGTTCTCAAATAATATTCAAATCATGTTGTGTTAGTGGTTTGATAGGTTTTATTTTATTGGTGGATTCAAGTAGAGACTTCTCCTACAAGTTTTTTCTTTCGGTGAAAATTTTTTTTTTCGCTGGGATCGATCATAAACCAGATCGGTTTTTTGCTTCCATTGCTTCATAATCTCGTTTATGCTATGAGTTTATCATCAGAAGGCGAGTAGTCATAATGCAGCTAAGTATGACAGCAAGGTATACGGGACTATGCGCGGTGTGAAATCTACGCTCAGTCCTCAGATCGGCAAGTTTCTGCTCTCGAGTGTGTAGTCTTCGTAAGGTGGTATATTAGTCAATGAGTTAAGAAGAAACCCATCTGATAGAACTCATTACAATTAAAAGCTTGACACCAGCAAATGCGGGAGCAAATAGCCCATAAAAGCGAGGAAAAACGAACGGTGACGCAGAGTCGCCAGATAAAAGGGGAGCTAGAAAGACGACAAGAGAGGAAAACAGGGGCATAGCGCTTAACTAAGTTGATTTTAGATGACTTGGCTTTTGTTTGGGTAGCACTAAACGTTGCATCGAATCATCACTTCATACTCAAACAAGCGCTCAAACTGTAATCAGCGTCAATCGTGCTGAGGCCAATCGTTAAAGTTCACGACTGGAGGCCCAGTCGTTAAAGTTCAGAGTACCAAGACTGGCGCAGAGGGGCGCGGGTTTGATCCCAGCTCTGTGCGCCAGTTTCTGGTCAGAATCGGCAAAGAGGCCGGGCGGTTAAGCAAAGCAAAATTTGAAGCAGTGAGTTTCGAGTTCGAGACCGCGACAAGCTGTGGATGTTCTGCAATGTTAAGAATCGGCGACAGGTGTACGCCCTAATAAACGCTGAAACAGCTATTATTACTTATATTATAGATGTTTCGTCAAAGCTGCCTAGCGCCACTAGGGCGTGGAACAAATACAGAGTGGGACAGAACCGATTGAGCAGTTTTGAGGCGAAATAAAAGAGTAATGGAGGTACATGAAGAAGAAAGTTTATTTTCTTCGAGGTCCAACAAGAACCAACACCAGGGGCCACGGCTATAAACTAAAAAAAACAGCGTTGGAACACATCCAGGCGACAACATTTCTCCTCGCTTCGAGTCACCGACATGTGGACCAGTCTCCCTGAAAGCATCGTTGACGCTCCGTGTAAGAATATCTTCAAAAACAGACTAGACGAAGCTATGCAGGAGCATATGTTCAGTCTTAAAATGCCTAGCAAATTACGGAGCAGGCAATAAGTCCAGACGAAGCTATGCAGGAGCATATGTTCAGTCTTAAAATGCCTAGCAAATTACGGACCAGGCAATAAGTCCAGCAGCTATCTCAATCAATCGTCAGCTATGGAAAGATCGGGTTCCAAAGAGTGCAGGATCTGCCGGCAATAAAACCATGTTGACAATCTGATATGAGATGGTGAGCAGTCAAGTGATCGATAATCCTATCCCTCACAACAGATTCCATCAGTTTACAAACAACACTTGTCAGACTGACAGGGCGATAGTTGCCGGGGCTGCTTTTGTCACCTTTTGTGAACAAAGGTGTTACTTGAGCTTCTTTCCAGTCGGACGGCAAAGTTCCTTCGTTCAAGGTTTTTTGAAAGAATACTGTCAATGGGCCGGCCAGAACGGTTGCTAATTCTTTGAGCAATCTGGGATGGAAACCGTCTGGTCCACATGACTTGTTGGGATTTAGAGCTACCAGGCGCTTGAGAACCTCTTCTTCGTGTATTTCAAAGCATGTTAACTTCGAACCGACTAGACGCTCCTCAATATCTGGAATACTGTTCAAGTCCTCATCTGTGAACACACTGCTGAAGAACAGATTAAGAACGTTAGCCTTGCCCTCATCAGAGGAAATCTTTCGTTGGTCTACTTTCAAATCAGAAATATCGTCCTTTGACTTAAACTTCGAACCTGCGTACAAAAAGAAGGCTTTCAGATTCTTTTTCGCATTTTTAGCAATATTTTTTTCGAAGTTTTTCACTGCAGTGCGACAAACTTTTTAGCTTGATTTCGAGCTCTGGCATACAGGTTATAATCAGACTCGCTGCGAGTTCGTAAATAACGCTTGTAGGCTTCTTTCTTGGTCCTTAGCTGAGTCTTAACTGCACTGTTCATCCACTGGGACTTTTTGACTCCTCCAAGCGTAATCTTGGGTACACAAGCAAACGTTTCTTTGAGAAACGACCATGAATCAGCCACATTCATGTCCTTAATACAGTCCGAAATATTCGCCGCATTCACCGTTTCACGGAGAGTATCATAGTCGCCTTTCGCAAAGTTCAAACGTTCACGCTTCCGAAGCGTCTTTTCTGCACAACACTTAATATTGAAAAACAATGATTGGTGGTGGCTTTTGCCCAACGGAGCCTCGTGGCGAAGCTCATCTATCAGTCATTCTTCACTAGTAAACACAAGATCTAGAATATTAGGGGTCTGTTTACCACTAAAATGGGTTGGCTTGGTGATGTTCTGGATTAAAAATGAGTCTCGCACAGACTCCAAGAGCAAGGATGCTGGGTGATTCCCATCTCTTGGAGAAGATTCATCTGCCCAGTCTATTTCTGGATGGTTAAAGTCACCAACGATCAACGTATGCGACCTGCTGAATGACATGCTCGGTAAAAGGCTGTTTCGTACTTTATTGTTATCAGAGGAGCTGTTAGGTGATCTGTAAATTACCCCTATGAGAAGGCTATCTGTACCTTTTAGAGTAAGTTCGCACCACACTGATTCTGCAGATAACTGCAGATTCTGATGCTCTGCACTGATTCTGATGCTCTGCAGATAACTTAACTTGCTGGGCCCCAAATGAGGTTCTAACCCACAGAGCTACACCTCTACTGCACTGCTCTTCATTTAAGTTTTGAAAACAATCAAAACCTAGCAGCTGAAATTCAACAGGTACAATTTCCCCCCCGTGATTTTTAGGGAGTGTTTTTGTAATACAAATAATGTCTATACACTGGTTTGCGATCACAGCTAACAGTTCACTTTTCTTGTTCAAAACGGAATCCGAGTTCGTGTAAAAATATTTTAAAACTTTTTGTCCACTTTCACTTTGATGTATGCGGTTACTTCCTACATTATTTCCAGGCCTTGATCTACGGACATCATTCCTACTAATTACTTGTCCTCCATCTCCTCCGACTGTCCGTGAGCAGCCGGTGTTGTCTTGGCAGCTTGGAAGTGATTGACCTGATTTTCCGTGCCTTTCCGCCTGATTCTCTCCTGCCACTTCTTGCGAAAAACCGCCCTTTCCAAGGGGGTGGAATCTTTCTTTCCAAAAACTGACTTGTAATCAGCGGATTCTCCAAGCTTTCTCGCTGTTTTCAGCACGCTCCAGACCTGAGCAGAATCCTTTACAGTCACCAGCAAAGGTCTGAAGATGTTGCCAGCAGCATCCTTCGAGCGTAGCCTCTTGCAAGATATAACATCAATCGATGTGAAACATCAATCACGAAAAGTTCAAGAATCGGCAACAGGCCATGGGCCTATTTCTTCAACGCCGACACTTCTATTCTATTCAATAACATACCATTTGGAATGCTTATGTTTTATAAACAATATCAGGAAGACGGAGGCCGTTAGCTGCAACACACTGTTGGAGTCGTTGTCGGAGGAGGGAGTAACCGTGACAGTGAATTCCAAACGCTATGCTGCAATGTTGCACCTCAATTTCTTGCTGCCCAGGATGGAAAACATTGTTGAAAATGAAGCATTGGGAGACGTGCGGTTCCAGCAGGATGGAGCTACAGCTCACACAGCCCGAATGTTACTTAATGTTTTGAGACGCATGTTTCCCGGACGTATGGTGTCTCTGAGGGGTAATTTACAGAGGCCTGTGAGGTCACCTGATTTGAGCATTTGTGATTTCTTTCTTTGGGAACATCCAAAAGAAACGGTGTTCAGAAGTCGCCCTCACACCCTACCATAGCTAAGGGAACGGATTATTTCAGAGGTTATGGCCATACCTCGCCATATGTGTAAACGTGCTGTAGGAAACTTCCGAGAACGACTCCAACAGTGTTTTTCAGCTAACGGCCACCATCTTCCTGATAGTGTTTTCAAAACATATGTATTTTAAATGGTACCTATGTTATGCAAACCTCGAGGATAATAAACTTTCTTCTTTATGTACCTCCATTACTCTTTTATTTCGCCTCAAAACTGCTCAGTCGGTTCTGCCCCACCCTGTCTACTTTCCGTGACCTTGTTAAATTACGTTACTTTCAGCTAACAAGATAAGAGGGTGGGTTTCAAATCGTTAACTTTGGTTCCATGATTAATCTTCCTCGTCGACGATTGGCCGTTCGATTGGGGTCTGACACGATGCAAAAGTTGAATACTAACCTGATTATGTAACTTGTATAACCTGATTTGAGTGTGGTCACCTACGCTTATCTCAACGTAGTTTCTGTGGGCATGTCATTAGCGGCTGACGAGCGAGCTGATGAGTGCTGACAGCTCCAACGATGTGGTAGAAGTGAAATGGACCAAGGGCGCCAGAGGGTTCTATCCTCAGGCTGTTGCGAACGTCAGGGTTGTGGCTCGACAGCTCGCGTTCTTCATCAACAGCTTGCAGGTGAAACCTACATTCCCATTCACAGAATTGGTGCTTGTATACGGGGAAAATATTAGACGGTGATATCAGCGACTAATATTACTTGATAGGAATTTTTTGGTTAATTTCTCATTCAACGGTAAGTAGCAAGAAGCGGCGCTTGAAGTCATAAAGTGCTAAAGTTTCATACTCCGGACGCCAGTACCGCTCGTAGAGCTAAATCAGCCGTGTTGTGTATGTAAGTGTCGCTTCGTAAGTCCACGAAACAAATTCCACGACGCTCTAAGTCATTAATTCTCCGTCTTACCCAGCCATTCACCCACAGCCTCAGTTACATGAAAAGGGTTTGAAAACAAAATTAAACAACAATTTCAGCATTGTCTTTTCAAAAGTCTTCTCAAACTCACTATCTTTGTCAATTTCCCTATTTCTTTCACTCAGCGCAGACTTGACTCGACGGCTTTTAACGAACCAGTGTCAGGAAAAGATGAGAAAATACTTTGAAAGGGAATAATATTGGAATAATATAATATATCAATAATAATACTTTGGAAGGGAATAAAAAGATTGAACTCAAAAGCCGCCAATATATGAAAAATGTTCAAATCTTTAAAAATAAACACTGAAATACTGATTGTATGTTCGCTTGTGTACTAATTACCTTCCAAATTTAGATATTTTTCAAGCGTGTTGTGTATGTGTTCCTCGATCAGGTAGTCCAAAACATCTCTGGTCACAGCTTCCACCTGATAGGACACAGTCTGGGGGCGCACGTGTGTGGCATCGCCGGGACTTTTCTACAGCAGCGATATGGCATCACTATCGAAAGGTACGATGACATCTAATTTGAATTTAAAAAAAGTATGCAATGTTGAATACGGTAGGAACAGGAAACTCGTATTCACTAAAAATTAGTATTAAGTAAAAGTTACCTCCACAGCATAACTCTTTCTCGAAGTTTTTCCTCGTCGTGGCACAATTGAAATGATAACTAGAGTTTATTTTTCGTGCTAAAGTTTTTCTTTGAGTTTCTATTGCTGATTTTGTACGGCTTAACTTGCTTTTGTGAAGTCCAATTTTAATTGAAGAAGTGGTGTATTAATTTCCACGAATTAAAATAAAATCTATTCGGTTGTAATTTATGAACATTTTAAGTCAATTTATTAAAAAATATAACTCAGTACTCTCTGCAGCGAGTGACAGAGCGCATTTTCTCGTCGACGAAAACGTGAAGTCACGGACGGACAGACGGACGGACGGCCGGACGGACGGCCGGACGGACGGCCGGACGGACATGGCGAGCACAATAGTGCATTTTTCCATAAATGAGAAAATGCACTAAAAAATAAATTTAACAGAAATTTTAAAAATCCAGTGAAAATAATGTAGTTTTTTATTCAGGATCACGGGTCTTGACCCAGCACAACCGGGGTTCAAGACTGAAGAGAGTCTAACTCGACTTGACCAAAGTGACGCATCCTTCGTGGATGTCATCCACACCGACACGGATAACTACTATGGCATCCCCATAAGTGAGTTTGCCTTTGATTACTTCCATTTTAATTCTTAACAGCACGTATATTGTTAACTCAAATTTGTCGAACTGACGCTGGAGCTGGACTTCGAAATGTTTTCGTTTTATAAAAATAAAGAGAATTTCTATGCCGTCTTTCATGTTTTTAAATTTGTTGTTAAATTTCGATTTAAATAATCAAGTGATCTTAGTAATTTTTTCTTTTAATCGACCAACGTCAGCAATATTAATATTTCAAAATTCCAATTTAAAGTTTGGCAAAACTCCTCATTTACTTGATAATAAATAGTACGTATTTGAATTGTGTGTATTATACTTAGTATAATCCTAATAATTTGTCCCTTTGAAATCTCATATTCAAACTTTTAAATCATATCTATGTACCAGTCTAATTTGCCTAATCGAGACAAAACAATTAGGAAATCGCTAATGAGAAAAACTCTCTGAACTGTGGAACATGCATCAAAGATTGGTATCGATGAATGCATGCGTAATTTTTTACTATTACGCCCCAATTATTATTGCGCGTATTTATTATTACGCGTATTCATTATTATGCGTATTTATTATTACACGTATTCATTATTATGCGTATTTATTATTACGCGTATTCATTATTACGCGTATTTATTAATACAAGTATTCCTTATTGTGCTGTTGAGGTATAAGCTTGTATACCTCCCTACCATCCCCTACCATCCCCTGTATACCATCCCTACGTGTTATTTTACTTGGGATTCGTCAATTATTGTGAAATTGCTCAATGCCATTTTAGTTTAGACTTTACGGAAGTCGGAATGCGGAAGGTGTAAGTTGCTGCTAGATTATTGTGCGGTGTGAAGCCCGAAGCGGAGGTACGTAGTGTGTTAGGTCCTGATTTGTATTATTGAATTGCGATATGTGAAAATGATTTGAATCGATGTATATACTATATGTGTGTTCCATTATTTGATTTGTATATTCATTACTGTATTTACTAGTTAGAAGTCTAATTATTGTTCATTTTACTCTTTAGGAAAGCCTCAAACCAGAGACTCAAACCAGAGACTCAAACTCGAGACTTAATTAGTCATCTTCTCGTCAGTTGACCAGCACGTGAATGTGTATATTACAGTGGATTGTATATACTGAAACAGATTGTGCAATAAACTGATTTTAATTAAAGACTATCAGTGAAAATTACCCTATACGATCATGTAGGCCGAGTTGGTGTGTCGATGACCCCAACAGTGCGTATTTACCATAACCGTATAACGCGTATTTATTACCCTACTACTTGTATTCGAAACTTCGTACAGTGAAAATAAAATGTCCCTTGGAAACTACATGTACAAATTTCCGAATCCTTGCAAAAGTCTTATTTGCCCAATTGAGGAAAACTATAAGGAAATTTTGCTAATACGTAATAATTCTGGGTTTCGACGAAACATACCTCATAGGTTGGCATCAATGAATGTACGCCTAATTATTACCCATTTTTCAGACCTTGGTATGAAAGACCCAATTGGACATCTGGATTTCTACCCCAACGGAGGTGGACCGCAGCCTGGTTGTTTGGGAGGTGAGCTGTGTTCTCATCCTTTCTGTTCGCTGTCTTTTCTTCATCTCTGTCAAACCCCCAATGTTGATGATTGTTTGCTGAATTACTATGCAGCAGATTCTACTCGGTTTGCGCCTGATGTAAGCGCCTACTCATTCAAACGAAAGAAAATAAGACTATAACTAAAAATTAAATTCTCCATCGACAGAACGACCAGGGTGTTCGCACTCTCGCGCTCACGAACTATTCATTGAGTCGGTTAGGCAAGAGTGCTCCTTCGTGGCCGTACGCTGTTCCACAAAAGAAATGTTCTTCAAGGTATCGAGTATAGGGCCTGAATAATAGAATGAAAACCAACGATAACCGAATAACATGACGTTTAAATGGTCAAAACTTAAAGTGATAGGACGAGCTTTTTCTTGGCTCTCTGTTGCTTGCTCATCCCAGCGTATATTTCTCAGGCTGAATACTGCGAAAACTATTAATTAACTGTGAATCTGTGTCCGATTTTCAAGAAATATAGTTTCTTAATGATCGTTCATCGATAAGTTTAGTTATTGTGTTTTGTTTGTTTTCTGATTTTTTTTTTTGTGTGGCTGTCTTCAATTTCTTTTCTCACGATAAGGTCGTGATTGTTGCTGACTATGCCAAAATCTGTGCATATCACTACCGCAGTGAATGGAGCCTACATTTTGAACAATTTGTCGAGTTCAACTACGTTATTCTCTATTTGTCGAGTTCAACTTCGTTATTCTCTGGGAAACTGATATCGTCGTAATTTATTGTAGGTCGCGTTAAAATGTTGTCTATGCAAAAATAAGGCACTGCATAAGAGAGACTGAATAAATGAATTTATTTGCGTTCCATTCAACTAAAATTTTAATTCGACAATTTAAAAATTGAACCCACGTTTGAAATGACGTCTCAATAGGATTTTCTTCTTTCAAACATCATTTTATGCAAGGCACTCGTTAAACTATGGGTCACGGCTTTTTTGACTTGCAATCGATATTTGTGTGAAATGTTGATTAAGAAAATTCAAAATTTATCCCGAGCAACGCCAGGTTTACCCGCTAATACTTTGTAATTATCATGATTTACTTTATGTAATTATGAACCCTCAGGGTGAATGTTGGGGATGCAAAGCACCTCACGAGTGCTCAGATATGGGGCTCATGGCCGTGCCTACGGAAGTGCCTGTTAACTCAAAATTCTTGCTACTAACGCGCGGTTCTTCTCCGTACTGTGGTGAGTTCACACCGAGTAATTTGTCTTACACCGTCTTAAACATTGAAATTATTGCCAAATTTTTCATTGCATTTAAATCACAGGATACTGCTTCATTATTTGTTGTGCTGCCTTAATGAATCATTTCCCTACTCAATAGTCCAGTTTTATTGTTCATGTGAGCATTTCTCAATTCAATAATTTATTTCACTGTTAAATGCACTGCTTTGTGTAACATATGAAATATTACTCCTCAGCTGCCATGTTACTGCGCGTCTCATAAAGTATTCATTATCCAGACTACCACTATCTGGTCTCCATCACCCTGGGCAACATCAACGGCTGGGAAATCAAACTTCGTTCCCTTGCCATCATTGGCTCTTCTGGCACCTCCGACTACATAGGCCTCACAAGCGCGTGAGTAGCCTGAGGCAAAGTTTCAAACGACCTTCCGTGAACTTGTGCCAGATTTCCCACACCGAAATAGGCTTTTAAGCAATAACGGGTGTCGCCTTGGTCAATGTCAAATCTACATCCATTAAAGCGACAGAACTACGAGTATTTATCAAAATCCACCTACATCCAATTTTCCCTCTGGCCTCTGATCCAAACGCACTATCTTCGTACGAAAACTAGACTAAGTCATATGTATGGCGACTATGACAAAAATTGAAGATGAGACTTCAAGACAGAAAGAATTGATACAAAATCAAGATGTAATCAAAAACAAAGACTATAAACACTTTATTAAAATAATCATGACTGGCCTTACCTCTGCACTATGCATTCTCAACGACGGTTTCTCTATGCCCAACGCCTACATTACACCCTCTTAGTGCGAACAAGAGAAATATACACATATTTTTATGTGTTATAAATGATATAAATTCGAAGACCACTCCATTCGCATATGAACCGCTAGTACACAATACTACTCCGAGTGCGCATCAAACGACAAGGCCTAGACTTAATGAAGAAGTCATCATAAATAATCAAAAAACAACCCTAGACCAAGAAATACAGAAGACACAACAAACCGAAATACCCAAACCTGCAATAGCACAAAACTAACATTCCTCAAAGCAGCCTCACTCTCCCTAACACACATTGCCAGCCTCGCCAGAGGGAAAAAATTCGGCTACATCGTTTGAACCACTAAATGTCAATTAAAATATTCATATAATTTCCACCATCGTGACCGCCAAGATATTCAACTTTTTCGTGAAGCACGATAATGGCAAGACAGACTTTCCATCAGAGCCAAATTTACTGATGACGACGACATGAGACGGCTCTCGCTAAGCCTAGCTGAACTGCAGGCATATATGTAGACATCCCTCTACCGTCGTCAACCCTACCCTAGCTAGTACGAAGGCCCACGACGCAAGAAAGCGAGGAATAAGTGACAAAAAAACAAGGAGTAAGCTAATATAAGGCCTGGACTGAATGAATCCATTTTCGTTAGACCATAGTTAGAAGCGACAAAGACCCCAATTCAATTCCAGCAGTACCTCATAACACCTGGTACATTGACGAACTGCGAAAGAATGAACATGCAATGAAGATTTCGGTGAATGGCCTAAGGCTCCTCCAAAATAATTTACTATTCAAGTCGGAACAAATTAAAAATATGCAGGCCCACAATCATGCAATGTCATCTCTCACGACACCTCCTAACCGTGGACAACCCTCAACAATAAAAAAACATCAAAATTACAATCCTGGTTTAAACTTCCTTCCCCACAATGATCCGCAGTCATTAACGAAAATATTACTGACAACCCCAATCTACTCAAGATATTTACCTACAACGTTCATAACTGCAACAATGACAATACAATACACGGCGGTGCGACTATAGTAATTATATCGTCTAATTCCCTTCAAAATCTACGACAAATTTCATACAGACATGCGGCCCCTCGTGGCTGAATTTGTATGGGCCTTTAAAGAACTGGATGCCTCACTAATTCGACCGACTGACACTGCCACAAGATACTAACTGATGACGCAACTGCGACAAGTCGACTTGTAAGAAAGCGGCAGATGCATCCAAATTAAACTCACTTCAATAATATCCCCCTGTCCTTAGACCAAAGCAAAGATACCTTATGACAAAGATATAGGAAGCCACACCGCCAACATAATTATACATGAAATCACGAGTCAACATAGATGGTTACAAAGACAGGACATCATTAAAATCAAACACTAGACCCACGTCATCAAAAGCGTAAACACAGAAACAACAATAGCACAACGTATACTCACAAACAGTTTTTAAATGTATCAAACAACGCCCTCACAATGCGAAAAGGAACAGAACACACACTTACTTGTCTGTAACAAATGGTGCGAAACAGAAGACCACTCCATACACCTACGCACATCCACCACTCCCTCCTGCTCCAAATGCACCGCTGAAAGACCATACATACACCAATGCACTAACATCTACAAATAGTGTCTAATTTGCCACAACTTCCATCGTCTTCAGCTGCACACCATCCCTACAGCAAAGAAAAAATAATACCACAAACATCAAAAGCAAATGAAAATGACAGCCAATATACTAGAAGCCCATATTGCCAGCCTCTTCGCATGAGTGGTTCGGCAGCAAATCGTTAAACGCGAACTACGACATCGGCACAATTATTCCTGACAGAGACTCTACTAAAATATCCAACTTCTTTTATTACCAACCTAAGATCTAACTCCGGACACACGCTTCAACCTCCCAACTGAATTTTTACATTTAAGGCTATGGTCCTTTGTTCTACGGGTTAGAGGTGAAAGCTACATTTAGTGTAATTCCCTTACTAAATACAACCAGGGGCAGCATCATCCCTAATCAATACCTGCATTAAAAATATCGAAATGTGCTCGTATAGGTAGTATAGTGAATGAAACGGTTGTAAAACAAGTTTTTTTTAGATTTTTGGTATGTTTTAATGCGACCAATATAAATTTTAATGACCGTTTTGATCATCAAAAATAATATATCAAGGCATCACCAAATTAGCGATTAGTGGACGTGACAGAAAAGAAATATCTTCTATAACTCAACCGAAATAAAGTACTAAATATAAATCTTTCTCTCATCCAGCCTCTCAGAACAATTGCAGCAAGTTCATAATTCCAAATAAGAACAGGTCGTACATTGTATTCATTCGTTCGTAACAACACTAATGTCTTCATGCTCTTACTGTTACAGACCTGAATACTCCACGGCAGGATCTGTACATCGTTATGTGGTGCTTGCAAGAAGCTTAGGACAACTTCGTTTGGTCACCGTCTCCCTCACGTACCGCCGACTTTCTGCCTCTGATGTTTCCATGGGGTTACGGGAGTCCCGCCTGTTCCTCAGCAAAGTTTCAGTGCAGATGCTCGGCTCCGAGTCATTGTGAGTAAAACTATTCTTGTACAGATTTTTTATGAACATTAATTGGTCGTGTTACACCGAAAATTCATTTGAGCCGGTATAGAATAAATTGGCATGCAAATAAAAAAATGTGCAACATCGGTTTTCAGCCATTTTAGATTCTTTGAAATGTGTTTGAATACTTTTATAATGCAGTTGTTTTTGCAATGCGATAGACGATATGACTCTGAGAGAAAGACGGAGTACGGTAGACGATGGAGTTGTACTCCATCGTCTACCGTACAATTTTCTCTTCGTCAAAGATATGAATTTTTATGTAATGTTTCTCATTTATAAATTCGTTGTAAATTTGATAGCCAAGCAATGAAATGAACTTTGTACTCAATGGAATTTCCACCCATAAAAGTTACATTCAAAACTTGAAGAAACTGCTCGAAATTTAAGTAACTGAAAAGTAAAGTCCAGAACTGAAAAGGACATTCCAGAGAGATATAGAGCACCGGTAGGTTGAGAGGCCAGAGAGAGGAGAGTGGGAGGGATGAATATTGAGGGCTTATCGGTACCTCGTGTAAGTGAGCTGAAAAGAGTTATACGTGCGTGCTTAGCTCCTCTTTGAATTTTATTTTCTCTTGGCGACAAATGCAATGACAAAGTTGAGGCAACGGCGTTCGGCGAAAATCACATCTATCGTAAGAATATTTATGACGAATTTCAATACTTAGCTAGATGAGCTGCTCTTGCACAAAAGACTGTCAGTACTTTTTCTGATCGACATTTCATTCTATTATATCGACATTATTATAATATCGACATATTATAATATTGAAATTATAATTCTATTATCACAGAACCGAATTTTGTTTCAATGGTTCATCGGGCGAGAGGAACGTCCAGCATGTCACCTTGACAGCCGATGAAATATGTTCATCGACTACGGAAACAGTGTTGCCACCAGCAACAACAACAGGATTGGCTGCAACACCACTGCCACTAGTTGGAGCTGCCACAGCCCCGGTGACAACCTCCTCTTCAGTGCCACAAGCTGGAGCAGCCACAATAGGTGTAGCACCGACGGCAGGAGCAGTAGGTACAAAATCTTGAGTAAAAGAAATTGTAGACCTCCTAACAACAACAGAACTGGTGTTAGATCCACTGCATTTGTACAACCGCTATCACTAGCGACAAATGTAACAGACCTTGAAGCAACAACGTTAGTTCCCGAAGCCGCGACACCTACATCAGTACCATGGCAAAAAGCCTCAAATAAAATCTTACCTGCAGCCGCTACAGTGACATTCGTGCTACCAACACCAGCACCATAAGCTTCAGTAGATACTCCGGTAGCAGCAGCACCGACAGAGAAGTTCACAACATTTGCCGGTGCTATAAGGTCTTCATCAGATGAGATGATTGCACTTCAATCACAAGCACGAGCAGCAACTGCCCCTGCAGTAACAACAGTGATAGCATTAACAGTGGCACCGCCCTTAACATCACGGCCAAGAGTCTCAGATAGAACTCTACCTGCAGTATCGAACATGAGGTCCAATTTTTGTCAGCCCGAAATAGCAGGTAAATTAATTCAAATTGTTGGACTCGCTTTTCGTGAACAAAATAATCCTTCCAAAATATACCATGTAACTCGTTTAGACATAATTTGATCATACAACAAATCACCTGCAAAATACAGCACCAAATATGTTGTTGTGTGAAAAAATCAGTATCATTACTGATATATGATTATTCTCTTATTCTAATGCTTTTCAGTCAACAACTGTATGTTCTATGATTTCGCTCTATGAAAATATTTTACAATAATATTCATCTAAATTATAATTTTTAATTAATAGGGAAAAATAGTGAACATCGTCGTAATGTTAGAGGTGGAAAAATGCCCTGACCAGAATTTAATTACTGCAGTCAACACCCGAAGTATTGAATCAGTTCCATAAGTGATAGGGATCACTATTTCCATAGACTGATTATTATGTATATAATTAATGTTTCTTTCATGTCATTTGTCCAATTTGATGTCCCATATAAAATAATGTAAATAAATGTCTACTATATTTTGAATAAAGTAATTTTTTGTCACCGATGGGAGTTTGTTCCCTATCAAAATTTTTAGTTGGTGGCGAGCCTGAATTAGGAACCGCCTAGGACTCGGACCGAACGTAAATCAGCTTCTCTATGTCCGCTTTTTGGTCTACATTCCGGTCCCCGAATTTTGTTAGGGTTACGACATTTACGGAGTAAAGGAGGGGTTCCCTGTAACGTAGCCGTTGACGGGTTATATCCCTACAGCACCTGCTGAGCTCGACACCGCCTTTTTGCTCACTACCAAGACTGATCAAGTTAATACCTTGGTACAATACGTCACGCGACCTTCAGTATAATATTTACAATTCATAATTGTCAAATGATACAGCATTTGTGGGCCCATATATTCAATTAATTCCTTAGCAACTAAACCAGAACTTGTTTAAAGATTTCTATTTACTTTACTTGTAAAAAATACCTGCTTTAATACAATGTCATTAGTTATTTCTAATCACCTGTTCACTCGTCAGAAACTTAAACCGTCAGATATTGAAACGCTAAGAGTGCGCCTCTAAATCCTGGAGGCAAAGTTTACATCCTCGTACACAGCTACAAATTATTAGGCTAATCTTCCGATTGGCCGGAGGTATATTCAGCAAAGTCACTCAAGGTGTTCAAGAGTCAATAAGAGAAACGTAACAATGGATTTGCCCCTGAGTTAGTTTTTATCCCATTAATTTTTTCAAACTCAGATGTTCCTCAGAAGCTTTATTTTCGGTAGTTCTACTAAGGTCAATATATCAGCAATTTAAACACCAAATTGAACGTCATCAAGCTAAACTCAAGAACCTAACCGCATTACATATGAAACAACCAATTCTTTAATATGGAGTTTATGAATATCACAAATTTAAATCAGCCCGTTGGTTCCAAATCTACCAGGTTCATTCAAGATGCTGGTTCTACGACGTTCAATTGACCCTCCATGGCATGTGATGAGGTTAAATTATTTTCGTGTTCTGAGTAATGTCCCTCTCTTTTAGCACTACCTACTACGTTTGCGCCACTAGGAACTAGAAGTTTTTTTCAATTGTCTGTCTCTATTCTTGCCCCTCTATTGTATATTGGCTGCACCATCTTTGAATATCTCTTCTCCGATTCTTCCCTTCTCTCCTCTCCTGCCCCTTCTGTGGGGGCAAGAGAAGAAAGGTTCCTAACATCGTTCCACAGGGAACCCAAGCTTCCACGCAAAGTCGCGTACCATCTATAACATTCCAATACCCGCCCACATTTTCTTATTCATCGGCACCTAATAATCCGCTTGCGACCCTTGGCTTACAGAATTTAACTCGTTGGCGCAGTCCATGGAGAAAGCTGACATTTTCAATACACGGTAAAACGCGGTTTAAGATGTAATTGATCCATCATCCCCAAATTTTGGCAAAACTGGAGGAGTGAGCCGGCCTAGACGTGATGTATCTGAAGTTGGTGAAAGCCTTCTACAAAGTTGACCAAAGACTTGACCTTAGTTGGTTTGGCGTTCCCGAAAGTAATGCTTTGTTCGGAAATAATGCTTCGTCCCGAAAATAATGCTTCATCCCGAAAGTAATGCTCGTGCTTCGTCGTTGTGATTATAACGGCATGTAAGAAGCTGCGATCGAAAGATGCTACCACCTGTAGTCCGCTGCTGGTGACTGTGCAGGATACAGCCCTCAGACATGTGCTTAAGACTGCAAGCAAACTAAGTGCATTCCCAGAGTTTAATTCAGTCTTTATTAAGAAGGATTCTACCTCTTTATAGAGAGCGGATTTTCGCAAGAAATGGCAGGAGAGAATCAGGCGGAAAAGCACGGAAGCTCAGGTCAACCACTCAAGACAAAACTGGCAGCACACGGTCGGTCAGCGGAGCTGGAAGACAAGTAAGAAGTCATGTCCATCGATCCAGGCCTGTAAATAATGTAAGAAGTAACCGCATGCATCAAGGTGAAAGTGCACAAAACGTTTATAAATGTTTTTACGCTAACTCTGATTCCATTTTGATAAAAAAGTGAACTGTTAACTGTGATCGCTAACGAGTGCATAGACATTATTTGCATTACAGAACACTCTCGAAAAATCACAGGGGGCAAATTGTACCTATTGAATTTAAGTTGCCAGGTTTTGATTGGTTTCATAACTTAAATGAAGAGCAGTGCAGTAGAGGTGTAGCTTTGTGGGTTAGAACCTCTTATGGGGCCCGGCAAATCAAGTTATCTGCAGAGCATCAACCAGCTAGAGAATCGGTGTGGTGCGAACTTTCTCGCAATGGCAAGGATAGCCTTCTTAAGTGTCGGATAGCCTTCTCAGGTATAAGAAACTCATCTCTCAGGTCACCTAACCAAACGCGAACTGTTAGGTTAGGTGTCATTTATACATCACCAAACAGTTCCTCTGATAGCGATAAAGTACTATACAGTCTTTTACCGAGCATGACTTTCCATAGGTCACACACGTTGATTGTTGGTGAATTTAGTCATCCAGAACTAGACTGGATAGAAGGATCCTCTCCAAGGGATGGGAATTTCCTAGCATCCTTGTTCATGGAGTCTGTGAGAGACTCCTTCCTAGTCCAGCACGTTACCAAGCCAACCCTTAAAGGAGTAAACAGACTCCCAATATTCTAGACCGGGTGTTTACTATTGATGAACCAATGTTAGATGAGCTTCATCACGCGGCTCCATTGGGTAAAAGCCATTACCAATCATTGTTTTTCAGTATTAAGTGTTGTACAGAAAAGACGCCTCGGAAGCGTGAGCGTTTGAATTTTGCGAAAGGCGACTATGATAAACTCCGTAGAGCAGTGAATGCAGTGAATAATTCGAAACTGTATTAAGGAAATGAATATGGCTGAGTCATGGTCATTTCTCAAGGGCACGCCAAGGTCATGCATATTCCGCTTATATGTATCATATACAATAATAAAAGAATGCCATTACCAAAAAAGTATGCTAACAATGCAGCCGTGCAAACTTAATCCCTTGGGATAAAATTTAGATTTTTTAACACACAGTTATTATTGAAAAAAATTATTCCATTCTTCTTGTAGCAGGTAAAATTTTAGACTCGATGGACTTCGTCCACTATTGATTGAACTCAAACATATCTTGAAATGAATGGCGTGATCACAGTGCCTGTGCAGCACCACTGAAGGTGACCGGATCAGTGAATATATATAGTATTTGGTGAGTGTAATGGGCCTAGTGAGTCCTTTATGCTTAAATAAAAGCGGTTGTGCTTAACCGCGTACGGTTGAACCACATTACACTTTATATTAATTTGATTCTTAATTGATTGGCTCGCCAAATGTCAAAGCCTTCATAAACTTCGCGGTAATCGAAAATTAGCTTCACAATCCAACCATATCTCTAAAAATTATTGCTGGGAACCGAATATTATTGAAGTCATCAACAGAGAAAAAATATTGCCATTCTGCTTTACGATAATCATTCAGGTTATGATGATCTTAACGGATTCTGTGCAACTGATTCACCAAATGCTCGGAATTACAAAAGTAAACACAACACTAAACATGAGACAGAACATATCCGTTTGAGAGAACGTGATGAGGAGAAATGTCGCGCATATTTCGTGGTTTGTTTAGTATGATAAGAATAGTATGTAGCAATTTCATTTTAGATATGAAATATTTGAATTTCATTTTAGTTACGTAATTTACGAAATATTCAATAATATTGTTGACACAAACTATTTTTAGATGTGCCACCTACATTTTTGGAGAATATATCACTCGCACTATATTTGCTTCTGTCGATTTTTTATCCTTTATAGCCCATTTGTAATTTCTTTTACATCAGTATTTATCTTTTATTTATGGTTGGATAATTGATAAAAATGAGATTTAAGATGATATTTAAACAGTTTGTTCAAGAAATTTCTTCGATAAATATCCAGATATTTAAAAAAAAAAACACCAATACCTAGAACGAATTTGGTATTATACAGAGCTGCATGTAATGGAAAATTTTACAATCATGTAAAATTTATAACATATATTGTTAAAAATGAATAAAATAAAATGGTGCGTTTAGTACATTTTATTTCAAATTGATCATATCTGTACAATTGCTTTGTGCCGTGCAGAAGTCCTTCTCAGCTCGTAACTAAAACATGAATGAATGAGATCCTGAATTTATAAAAAACCTAAATTGCTGAACGGAAAAGTCTAAATGAAAATGGAATAATAATTGTTGCCCAGACTTGTGAATAAATTTATAATATTCCCTAACAACGCTGCTAACAGCCTGTATCCGTATTTCTGCTACAGGCTGCTATTTATTTGTAGCCGTATTTATGCTACAGGCTGCTATACAGGTCAGGCACTGCTATTTCGCAGTGCCCGACCATAGAGTCTAGACGTTATTGAATGTGAACATCGGCATAATATAGGATGCGCCTCTGGTTACTTCTTGTATTGTCTCGAAAAACAGTCATGATCGGCAAAGCCGTTATGTTGAAGTTGGTCGTACAAAAAATGCAGTCGTGGTCGTTACTTGTAGATTATATTATATCGATGTTCTTATTCAGGAGTCCTAAGTGTATCAATGCTCGAATTTTCTCGCGACCGTTAATGTTCTAAAAAAAGATTAAATCATCGTCCCCGGCCATCACCGTCACGACGTCTGCAATATTTCACAGCGTGACGGTGGCCCGGCTAGCCCGGTCCCAAGAACCCTATTGGCATTGTATAGGTTTGACACGCAGGTGTTCTCTGAACGAATCTGCCGCGAGGTCACGAGCGGGCAGAGCGGTTCGTGGCTGGCCATTTTGGTCGTTTGCCTCCGTGGATGAGGTGAGAAGGTGATTGCTGTCCGGTTTGCGATTGCCGGTCAGGCTCGGCTTGTGTGTAGGAGTCTTACATAGACGCTGTTAATATTGCCGGTTCAGAATTTATATGAAGTTAATTGGACTGTGAAGTGGGGTTTTGTTTCCTATTTTGCCTGGGAGATTTAATGGGATATTCTGCTTCCCAGGTGGGAGGGACCTTTTCTGATGTGGCGTCAGCTTCTGGGATACGACTGTGCTCCTCTCAGACGATTGTTCAAGGGTGTGAACCATGAACGTGCACCGTTGGAAGAATCCAACCGCCTCCAGTGTTTACCTGACGTGGGAACCGACTTGACCAGTCTGCCTCTTGGTTTGCCGTGCGCTCTGCATAGCCGAGCGGCGTTGGGCGTCTACCGTCGTACCCTATTGGAGCGCCTAATGACGAGATTAACTAGAATCATGAAGTTCCTCGTGGGGGCGTGATCACCCTAGGCTTGCCTGGATCGAGACATCGTGTTCCAGGCCCGGTTTCTGTGCCGCTTGGGGTCGTACGCCAATGTATGAGGGCTTCCCCTTGAAGATATACGCGGCTCTCGTGAAGTTGGTGCGTCTCGTGTTCCGTTTTGGAAAAGGTCATCAGTTTTTTTAAAATTGTCGCGGGTCGAATATCTGAATAAATATGTTTTTAGCTTCAAGTAGCCAATGAAGTAGGTAGCTAGTATTGATATTTGTGTCTAGGTTTCTTGTCGCGATTGAATAAAAATTCGGGTTGAATTTTATTCTTGCGCCCTTAGTAGGTTTTATTGCATGCGTCCTCCCTCGTACCAGTAGCGTCTCCTGCCCGGGGACATTGAGCGTTTAGGCAGCTCTGTCGTAATTCCCGTAACCCGCTCTCCCGTAACAGCATGAACTACGCCTCCTTGTATACTTAGACGCTATGCCCTCTTCGTAGACACGACCCTCGACATTCCTTCGGCACTGTTCGAAGTGAACAAACTCACCCTCGCTTTATTGAGGAGCTCTCCCGTTCTAATCACTCTTCAGCGCTAGATCCCACATTTCCATCCTTCAATACGTCTAACTTCCAATTTAATTTTTGACTCGAGGAGTTATTAATTTGCTCTCAAACTACGTTGTACGCACTGATCAAATTTCCCTCTCAGCGTAAATTAGCTCAGGCATTAATATTCTCCCAAGACATTACAAAATGGGAAAGTAAAAGTTCAATGAGTGCAGGTGTGAACGACAGGAAACTGTCATTCCCAAATTTACCTCTGAATATTCACGTGTAAAATTTTTAAATGTATTATTTTCTGGATCATTTTATCGTTCACTAAAATGTAAGAGACCACACGCGTCAAGTAGTCGTGTCAAACACACGACAGTTGAACCTGTAGGCTGCTTGCCGTCAAGTAGCTAGCCAAGATACGCAGTCGGTTTGATTTGTTTACTGGTTAGAGTTGTTAGCTGACCGTGATCCTGAGCAGTCAGACGTGTGCTACGAAGGAGGACTAGCTGGTAGCTGATTGCAGTGATTTTTGACAGCCTACGTTTGCAGCCCCTTTTGTCGTGCTGACTACAGCCGGTGTCTTCTACTGTCGCCTCGCTATTTGAATTTGTCCTTCCCCGATTTACGTGATTTTATGCTGTGCTATGTAAACAGTGTACGTCTCGTATTTTAACATTTCTAGAGTGATTTTTACCAGAATATGGACAAAATAAACTATTAAACTTTGTGGAATTAAGATATTAACAAAAAGTGAGTTTAATAAACTTTTTCTTTAAAACGTGCTCTTTATGAATTCAATTCATTGCCACTGAAGCGGTATTCAACTTACTTACTGATGACTTACACTGGGCAGGGTGGCCCAGTGGTTACAGTTCAGTAACAAGGTTGTAGCAGAAAGGTGCGGGTTCGATCCCAGCTCTGTGTGCCAGTTTCTGGTCAGAATCAGCATGGAGGCCGAGCGGTTGAGCAGAGCAAAATTGTAGCAGTGAGTTCGAGATCGCAAAATGTTGTGAATGTTCTGCGATGTTGAGAACCGGCGACAGGCCTACGGCCCACTAAACGCTGAAACCGCTATCTATCTATGATAAGGAGAGTGATTTATGGCATTTCAGGTTAAATAAATGAACACAGTTGCCCGGAATTAATTCATATATTGTTCTGGCTGAGCTGCGAGCGTCCGCCCCTGACAGTGATGAATTATTGTCCCTAATTATGTTCAGTTAGCTTGCAACAGCTGTGGCCGGTGACAAAGGTATTGGAAAATCTTTTATCAAATTGCATGCACTTCGAGAAAAATCCTGCACGTATGAGAGCCATGCCTCTCTCTGTTTATCCAAATATATTTAAACTTCGAGTCATTCTGAAGTCCTACCAGCATGAAAGCCTCGTATATTTTCCCATTTCAGAGCAGAGGAGTTGTTCTTAAGATTTAATATTTAAAAAAAAATCTTGGTTCTGGAGCACTTAAATGGCCTAAACAAGGTTGTAGGCATTTTAAGGGGACCGGGCTGCCCCCGGAGAAACTTCTACAGTTATTATCTGATCATCATGAAACTTCACATACATACTTAAAATGTAAAAAGAAAAACATTTGGCTCGTATGAATTTTTCGAAAAAATTGATAGAAAACGTGAAAAGGCCTAAAAACTGCCCTTCTTTGGGAAGCTGTCACGAAATCATTTTTCGACGTAGAGGGATGATTCTGGCACCGTTGGATGCGTCAAAAAGTAAGCTTTAAGATGAGCCCAAAAAGTGGAAAACGCCAAAATTGAAAATTTTAGCCAGGTCGGTCCCCTTAAAGAGCTCAGTCTTTCTATCCAAAGTCTCTGAGGTAGTTTCAGGCCATATGGATTGGATGGACATATAGGGACCAGTTTCTGCTTGACTGCTCTCGTGGGACCATTTTTCTTACATAACACTCGTGCATTTTTCGCGTTTTTCATGCTTTAATTTTACAGACGCATTGTTTCTTTCGGCTTTGAATTCAAACTCCTATAACTGCTTACTCTGCGCGCAGAAATAGGTACATATTTAAATATTTTTAGAGAGCTACGAAAAATTTAGTAACAGACGAGTGATCATACTTGTTTCGGAATAAATCGTTTAATACCATCCTTGCATACCATCCTGCTCATACTTTTTAATTTAATGTGAGAGGCTTAATATTTCCTATTTCGTTATTTTTTTAATGCTAGCGCGGCTTGGCTCGTTACATAACTTGTCTGCAGTTACCGAGTAGGCGTTGACGTTGCCGTGATCTGATTCTTTGAGGCAAAATTGTGTCCTGTTGAAACCAAATTGCGCATCATTTGAAAAAGAATTTAACTCAATAAAAAGTATAAAATAATAAATGTGATGTGGACTTGCATATAAAAGTCATTTCTACTAAACTATTACGACACATAAAGAACAACATGAAATAATAAGAGGGGAACGAAGTAGTCAAATCCACTAATCGTTCTTAAAAAATGCGGATTATTAGCAATTGAAAGTTGACTCTATTTATATGCACAATACAAAGTTAACTATTTTTACTCACAGCGTCTCCGAGCCGAGCATCTCCACCGTAATCGTGCTGATGGTGAGAGGAGGCGTAGGAATACCTATAAATTCTGCTAAGTGATCCATATTGACGAAATGGATGCTTACGGCGCCCACCGGCCCTGCGTAGGGGGAAAATCCCACGTAGCGATGGACTGATCCTTTACTAAACTCCCGGGGTTCAGTGCTGCGGCTGAAAAATACGCAGAAATGATAGATCTGCTCCTTTAACGAGCGTCGGACAATGGAAGAAAAAATCTTGATGATGAAAATAAGGTATCTATTGAAGTGTAAGAACGTGCATATAGAATAGTTTTCATTGGTTTCGCGCGTATCAATTTTATCAAAGACAATCCAAATTTAGTAAGAATTATACCGTAGTCTTATTCGTGTGATTCTCGTATATTTTATACTTGTTTTGTTTCCAATGGATCTTCAAAATAGAAGATGTTTGTTCGCAATTGGCCTACACATGTGAGTTTCTCGATGCTCTGCTCCGTGTTCATAAAGAAGCGTATTGAGATCTCATTTACATCAAAGAAACACGGAAAAATTGTTTCGGATTTGCGTATTAGATTGAATTTAGGTTTTAGGTTCCGTCATTTTTGGCCTGCAAGATTTGGAAAAGTATGACATACATGGCCCGCATTCATTCTTCCTGGCAACGACCCAGGGAAATTTTCTAATATTTTCCATACTTGACTCAATTTCATGGCATTTCCTTAATGCACTGGTACACTAAGAGTATTAGGAAAGAAAATTAGAACTATGTGAACACTGTGAAAAGAAAGAATTATTGTTTCGTAATGACAATATTTAAACTCATTTGACTTTGAAATGCACGCAATAAAACCATTATAACATTCAAAGGTAATACTTTAGATCAAGTGCATCCAAAAAAAGGGTATTTTTTTAATTATATGTTTTTTGAGGTGTAGATTAAGGATCTGAAATCCGTTTTTGGCGGTCGGCATCGGAAATTTTTAATGGAACCTGTTCCTAACTGGACCTAACCTGCGAGGTTTCGTTGATTGGCTAGGTTTTTCCGGCCGCCGGACGGACTCCAAACATAGAAAAAAACTATTGGCTAGGTTTTTCCGGCCGCCGGACGGACTCCAAACGTAGAAAAAACATAGCCGATCAACGAAAACCTCGCAGGTTAGGTCCAGTTAGGAACAGGTTCCATTAAAAATTTCCGATGCCGACCGCCAAAAACAGATTTCAGATTCTTAATCTACACCCCAAAAAACATGATTAAAAAAACACCCTTTTTTGGATGTACTTAATCTAAAGTAATACGCATTCAAACGGATGTGATTGATTGAACTACGCACCGGTGCCTGGCAATTGGCTTTTCGATTTCAATGCCAAGTTCGATTGACTGCAGTCGGTACCACGAGCCATAATCGTCGCCTGCCGGGCTGTCGCTGCTCACTGTGATGGTAGTGCGGTAATGGTATCCTGGAAAGTGAATAATCAATGGCACTCACAGAAGCATAGCAAAGACAGAGCACACTGCCAAATAGAGACAAAAACACTCATCACTGCACAATGAAATATTATATTATAGACCAGCAATACTTGCCTGACAAAATAACCCTGACAAAAAATCGCAAAACGCCTGGGCTACTGTTAGGAGACGCTACATCCCTTTTAGAGTTATTTCAAGTCTATTTGGCCAATTGATTGAAATCAGAGACTGGAAATGGGGCGCATGCCGAAGGCCAGCCTTGCCCAACTTCGCACTCGGTGCATATTACTTTACGTGGGTAAGAACACTAGAGGTCATAGCTCCCTATGAAGTCATGGGCTTGAAACCATAGCGCGGGATATACACTGCAACTACTTAAGCATAGTAAAGGTTTGCATGGCTATACTGCATCTGGCCAAACTTCTTCTGGCCTAACCTACACACGTAAAACCATTTCTTCACCATAAAAAAACTTGAGCTGACATAACCTAACTTCATCGGCTGCAGAAAGTTAGAGAAACTGTTTAAGAGCCGTTTATTGGTTGCACGAAAGTTGTGAGTCAGAGCTGCGTGATTAATTAGGCCAGAAGAGGCTAGACCGGAGTGTGTGCAGCCGGATGCAGAATTTCATACTCATGAGAGAGCATGCTTAAGCACTGGCTGAAGACTGCGGAACTACTATCATTAAGCAGTGTGAAACTGGTCTGGATTACGGTGCTGCAGTGTACTTTGCAGCTTTCATTTCTGCGGCTGAGTAAAGTTATTGTATACTGAGGCAGGAAGTAGACTCCAGGGTCTTATTCATTGAGAGCATGCCGGAGGTCAGCTGGGCCTAAGTTCAAACTTAGTTCATATTCCTTTCCGTTGGTAAGCACGCTAGAGGGCGTAGTAGTCTACGAAGTCAATTGTTCGAGCCCCAGTTCAAACAGGTCATACTGCATCTGGCCTTACCTCTTCTGGCCTGACCTACACCCGTTGCAACATTTCTCCATCAAAAACCAACCTCAGCGGACCTAACCTAACCTTATTGGCTGCAGGAAGTTAGAGAGAAGGAACAAGTGAGCGGGTAGAGCCAGACATTGGCTGCAAAAAAGTTGGGAATTGCTTCAGCGTGAAAAGATTATACCAGATAGAGGTTCGGTCAGAGTTGATGAGGTCTGATGCGGAACAGTCTGCTTATTAGCAACAGAAGTATTTAAGTATCAGCTGAAGATCTACGGCGCTATTATCTTTAAGCTGTGTGTCTCTGGGCAGGATTATGGAGTTCCAGCGTAGTCTGTGGCTTCTAGCTCTGTGGCTGAATAAAATTGTACGCTGAGGCTAGGCATTGGTTTCAGGGGTTATTTATTTATGACTTAAATTTGTGGCCCACGGCTTCGCCACCAATTCCTTTCCTCTTTGATCTTTAATCAACTGTGTTAGTGAGTGAATTACTTGCTCAGATACGTCATTTATCAAGAGGGCGCTGAAGTAGGTCACAAATTTAGGTCTTAAATAAGGTGGCGTAGCCGTGGCTACAAATTCAACTCATAAATAAACCCTGAAGCCAACGCCTAACCTCAGCGCACATTAACTTTATTCAGCCACAGAGCTAGAAGCCGCAGACTACGCTGGTACACAGTAATCCAGACCAGCGACACACAGCTTAAGGTAATATAGCCGTATATCTTCAGGCGGTACTAAAGCAAGATCGCTCATAATCAGGCGATTCAGCATCCGGCCTCACCTAGTCCGGCTTAATCTCTTCTGACCTAGCCAATTCATGCTGTCCAGACTCAACTTTTTCGCAGCCAATGTCTGGCTCTACTTGTTTAATTGAACCGCCTCTCTAACTTTATAGAGACAAGAAGGTCAAGTTAAAGCATCTCAATTTGGGGGAAATAAAGACGCTTTTCTACCGTCTAAGTATAAAAGCCTGTATAAATAACAGATCGTTACAACTTACACAAATATTTATTTATAAATCAATTCAGCTATTAAACCAAGTAATTTGTACGGGGTGACAGTTCCAACACCTAAGTTCTCACTCTATACGAGGTTCTGGTGGAATGAATAAAAAATGCTACAAGTTGGAATGAAGTTAACGAGCTATTGTGTTCATTGTGGTGACGTTCATGTATAAACAAATCTTATTTTTACAATTAAATCTAATACTAAATTTCTAAATACGTTTATTATATTAATTCAAAATCATGAACGGAATCGCAACAAAGTTAGTTCCGCTCAGGTGAGGTTTGGGTGGATAAATGCTGCAACGTGTGTACTGTGTATCAGTGTATGTTAGGCTAGAATAGGTTAAGCCGGAGTTCATTTGGCCCTATGCAGTAGGACCATATTTAATTTAGGCATAATGAAGCGGTGGCTGGGGACTTGCGGCACGATTGCTTTGAACAATTGACTTCATGGGCTACTATGCTCTCTTGCGGGCTTATATACGGAAAGGAATATGATTTAAGGGCTAAGTTGGGCCTAGCTGGCCTCCGGCATGCACCACATTTTCCAGGGTACTAAGTTTTCTTGTATTATCACCGTCTACAGTGCCTTATAGATAGCGGCAATTGAAATAGATATCGTTGGTTTGTAAATGCGTTGTCTGCCTACATAAGGGACTGGGTAGAGGATTTTTTAGCCTTTGTCAGACTAGGTCATCGCTATCGTGAAAAATGAATGATGTTTCATGTTTCGCTCAGAGGTCACTATAGAGAGAAGGGAACTAGAATATCAAAGTTGTCTGAACGATGACCTCATATATATAGCCGCACTTCGAAAATCGATAAATCATGAGTTATAAATAAGGGGAAAATATGCAAATTTTCTTGGGTTCGTGAGGAAAACAAATTAGACTTAAAGTTCATCGCCGGATATTTCATAGACGTTTCACTGTCTCTGAGTTCATCGAACACTAAAACAGCGCATCATGAAAAACGTGTACGTCAGGATCGATAACTAGTATCAGGAAAAATTTATAGAACTCAGACAAACTTACCACAATACGGCGAAGAATTTGTTGTTAGTAAGAAAAACTTTGAATTGACAGGCACATCAATGGGGACGGTTCTGAATCCCATTCTTGAGCACTCGTGAGGTGGCTTGCATCCCCAGCATTCCCCCTGAAAGTTTATATTTTTATCATGTGAATATGAAATGAAATACATGTAGAAAACCATTAAGTCATTAATTTCAATAAAAATAGTGAAATTGATGTGACCAGTGCAGAAATGACCAACTTGATCCTCAATTTCATCAAACATGTACGCACGCCGACCTCTTGTAACATAGTTTTTTTATAATTTTTTCGGCTAATGAGTGGCAATGTTGAGGTAATTTCAACCTGTGAAATTTGACTGCAAAGAGAAGTAAACATTTCTTGGAATAAATTTCATCGGCGTTGATTTTGATTTTGAAACTCTGTAATGTAACTTTGTTGAGGAGGACTTTTGGAGCAAGCTCATTGCGTGTTACATTCAGGAACAGTCAGTGATTCATTGCATTTAAAATAGAGTAGAAAGACAGAGTTTCATTTATGAGGTTAGGCTCAGAAAACAATATTTCTTCTCAAAAAGTGCGAATCGTGGCTTTTCTTCAAAGGAAGTCCTGCTAACTAAGAGTTATTTCACACTGTAAATCGAACCTGGAGCACTCGATCATTTATAGGCTATCATTTTATGTCATAACCAGTACCAGCGACATTTTCATTTCGTGAATCCAAGTATATAAATTAAAAATATTCATCACTTGTGGCGGTCAGGAACATTGGTATTCATGTATGCAGTGATGACTGATGACAAACCAGAATCACGCTCGAGCCATGGAGCGTGTAGTGCAAAGTAAAAAATCGGTAACCTGAAAGTATTTGTTAAACTGGATCAGAATAAGACACTTAGCAGTGGTCACATTTCACTCCTGAATTTCTTCTATAATTTTTTACAAAGAGTCACTGCTTAAATTTCTACACATATTACCCACCATCAAGAACTTTTTGTAGGACTCGCATCTGATGGCAAGGAATTGGCAGTCCTGTTTCACCGATTCGATGAAAATTTCGTGAGCGCGCTTGTGTGAGCATATGCCCGGAGTCGCTGCACCAAAATAATAGATTTTAAACTTGTAGTTAGCGGCATTCCGAGTCTTATTGTCTAAATAGGCACGAAAAGACTGATATTAAAAAAATTGCAGTGATAGTTATTATCCTGCGGGATCAAAGACAAAAAATTAAAAGAATATATCAAAAGACTATTTTGTTCACTTGGAATATGAAACCACTGAATTTTCCAAATCATGCGGGATCAAACCCAGGAATTAGGTGAAAAGGAAATATTAACAAATTATTTTTCTCATAGAAACTGAAACCAGTTATTTTTTAATCAGCTCACCTCCCTCGCACCCGGGCTGTGTGCCTCCATCATTGGGGTAGAAGTCCAAGTGCCCGATGGGGTCTTTCATGCCTAGGGCTAACCAGTGGGTTAGAATGGTGTACAACCTTCAGAAAAATATTGTTCTTCAAAACTCCCAATTAAACTCGCGATTTTTTAATCTATGTGTTCCTAGGAAACTAAGAGATATCACGTGCATCATGACATGAACTCAAAGTGAACATTTCTAGGCTAATGCCACATTGTACCATCCTACATTCTAGTTACAGAATTAGTTTGACAGCAATTAATAGAATTGCGTTAGCCATATTAAATGCTTAGAAGCAGGCTCCATAAGATTATGCTCGCGTAAATTGATTTAATATTAATTCCTCTTACATTTGACGATGCCAGCTTTTCTCTTGACATTGGTGTGGATGACATCCACAAAGCTTGCGTCACTTGGGTCGAGTCGAGTGAGAATATCTCTGGTCGTGTGACGCCATTGTGCCGGGTCTAGACCGCTGATCCTGAACATAGACTTCCCATTACTCGATCTAGAGTAATCTTATTATTTACTGTAAATTTGAAAACAAGATGAATTGAAATTCATTAGAGTGGTTTATTGGTAAATTTGATAATTTTACCATGAAGTAAAAAAATGCCAGTTAAAATCATCATATTTACGTCGAACAAGGTTTTGATGAATAGATAAGTATTCACTTTAAATCGTCGAGAATACCAGCAAAATCAATTGAACGGCCAAATTTACATGGAGGAGACTGCAACCTAAGCAGCCAGGGAAACGGGCGCAGTGACGTAAAAACCAATATCTTTGTTTCTGATATCTACCGGGTAAATTTTGTCGTTTCAATAAAAATATGGTGAATTTTCTTTAAATTTTATTTGTTCTTAAATTCTTTTTTACTTGTCGATATAAGCACACTAATACTTTACTGAATTCAAGTCAGTACGAAACACACATCACTGAATGTCAATTAATATGCGTGGCGTTGTTTTCAATATTAGATGCCACCTATGGGAAGAAAACTCAAACATTCGGATTTGATCCGAGCAACAGCAGGTAATTACTAACCAATTGTAATCGAGGATTATCTGTATAAGCTTCATTTGTGCGCGTGTAACTAAAGCAAACGATTTAAATTAATTACTATAACCAAGACTGTCTTACCTTGCTAGGGTGATATTATATCGCTGCTGTGAATAAGTGCCGGCAATGCCACACAAGTGTGCCCCCAGACTGTGACATATCAGATGGAAGCTCTGACTCGAGATGTTCCGTACTTCCTGTGCGATGAACGCATCACGCGTTAAAGTAATTTATTAAACTATTTTCCAAGTCTCGTGACTGACATTTATAAACTGAAAGAAATGTAACAAATTATTTTGGACATTCGAAATCAACATCTTTGCGTTGTAGAAGTGAATATTATCTCTAATGATCCACCATAAATCATTTTGCAGCGCATCACCTGTAAACTGTTGATGAAGAATGCTAGCTGTCGAGCTACCACTCTAATGTTCGCCACAGCCTGTTCGTACATGGCTTTGGACCACCTCACCACCACCACGTTGCTGGTTCTGTCAGCTTTCATCAGCTCGTTTTTCAGCAGCTAATGGTACGACAACAGTCGTTAATAAAAATACAAGTCATTAATAATAATATAATGGTGCGTTAATTAATACATTTGAGACTTTCTCTTGGCCCAAGACAGTTTGGCATGCCAAACATGCATCGAATTTAAGATGGCGAAGAAACGAATAAATGGTCTTATTTTTTGCATTAAACTTTAACTACTAACGTCTTTCCTGCCCCTGAAAAATCGCATAACCGTATTAAATTAAGTATAAACTCGGGAAAATGAGGAACATGAATTAAAGCTATCTGTAGAAGCAATGCTTATGGAATGATGACACGACGATATACTGAAAACTAACTCGAGTTCTGATATTCAGACGAGTGCACTTGATATGTCAGAATATATTCATGGACGTGATGGACCGATGTATGATTGTGTATGATTGCTCGAGGTTATCCATGATAAATCGTTAGAATCGATATCCGTCCGAAAAGTAAACGACAGCTACCACAGCGCAGGTGACTGTACGATCCATAAAAACCAATTTAGTACTTGAACGTTGATCCTCACTCGAGCATAATACAATAAGACATTAGTACGCATCCCGAATAATCCAACACCTGAGACGCTGTTCAACCCCGAAAATTTCCACGTGGCAGTCACTTAAAGTCGTCATCGGAACAGAGTTGCCAAAATTGAGGATTTACATTATTTGAAAAAAAGCCTGGGTGTCGTATTGTCGTACTCATACCCATATTTTGTGTTTCTGTTCTTTCTGAATATACTGATGTAGTGATGAGAATAATAAGATTCCGAAGATTTCCAGAAATACGATTCTAACCCTATTATATCTGCCCAGAATACTCGATTTCTAGATCAAAGAATACAAATTACCAGCCTCAGAGCAAGGAAAGACTGGAAGCCCAAGCTACATAATGAATCATGATATTGATGATTAACAGTATGCCGAATATACACGATTGTATTAAGAAAACCTTTCTAATAGTGACTATACCTGTGGCCACTCGCCATCAGAGTTCCAGCCGTGTACAAGGATGTAAACCTTCCCGTCAAGATTTAGAGGCACTTTGTTCAGTACTGTAGCGTTGTTTAGATCCAACAACTGAAAATACGGTCAGTGAAGAAGTAATCAACTGAAAATATGATTATTAAATAGACTACATACAATTACGATCTTTAAAGAAGTTTTTCACACCGTGGAAGCAGTGTTTGCCAAATTAGCCGGATAGACCATCATTGGGATTTCAGCTTGATTAAAATATGGTACGAATTGTTATATAACAAAGAATGGTATTGAATGTGTGAAGATATTGGAAAGGCGTGATTGATGGTGTACCAAGGGATGCTCTTGGTTGGGCCAGGAAGTGAGCCAGAATTCGGTGTCGTGTTTAGCGGGTTTGGCGTTTGAGCGACATGACCACGGTGCCTCGAGGGAGAACTCCTCTAGTTCTCCGTAGATGTCGTAGCACACTGACGCCAGCGACAAATGAAAACATTTTATTAAAAGTCAATAAACTTATATTTCCTTATTTCTATATTGTGAAACTAAGGCTGTGGCATGACCAGTTAACGGACATGAAAGGCCTTCAGTAACGGTTAACAGACATGAGAAAAAAGCTTACTGAGATGAATTATACATTGAAACGCGGGTACTTTACCTTATAGTAAGCCTTGACGGCACATATTTTTTTGTTTCATAGTATCAATTGAATGAATTGATTATTCGATGTTTGATCATTTTTCCGAGGCAATGCTTGAAGGATTTTCGAAATTAATATCTTACACTGTTTGAAATACTTTGAGATGCAACATAATGCTACTAATTATTAGAGGTAAGTTATAAAATCTTGTTGTAAGAGGGGACACTCAAACAGTTTGGAGATATATTGTTCAGATAAGTGTCTTAAAATTCTCGTTTCTGTTTTGCGCAAAGACTGCAACATATCGTCCCCAGAGGCACTTAATTTAAATTAGTGCTCTGGGGCCATACTTTCAAAACTCGCTAAGTGACGTAAGTACTTACGCTCTTTACTTGTCTATGATTGGCGGATTTTGCTCGAAAAGCCGTCAATGATTGGCTGATGAGCTTACGATCTCTTAATTTTTTTTGAAAGTATGGACCCTGATCTTCACATACATACTTTACACTCGTAGAATACAAAGCTTCTTGAAAATAATACTGTACGATATATGTTTGAGGGATGGACCTAATTTAATAAATTTGTTTTTTTGGAGACAATGCTTGACTCAATTGACAGCATAAATGATTAAAAAAATATTTTACTATAAAAAATTTTAAAAACAAATATTTTTAAATACCTAAAAAATAAAATAAGAAATGCATTGTCTCTAAAAAGTATTTTTTAATCTAATATTATTTAAATCAAACCTAGATAAATACGAATTTACGAAATTGGGTACATAATTTAGAATAACCCTGTATATTTAAGTGATGAACAGAATTCGAAACATATACTATATGTACACTTACCTGATTTATCTGGACACGTAATCCAGTGATTGATTTCAGATAGACCCAGAGTCGACCTGTTGCCCAGAGTCAACCTGTTGCCGGGAGTCGACCTGTTGCCGGGAGTCGACCTTTGGCACAGAGTCGACCTGTTGTTCAGAGTCGACCTGTTTCCTATAGTCGACCTGTTGCCCGGAAATGACCTGTTGCCTGGAGTCAAACCTGTTGCCCTGAAATGACCTGATGCCTGGAGTCAACCTGTTGCCCTGAAATGACCTGATGCCTGGAGTCAACCTGTTGCCCTGAAATGACCTGATGCCTGGAGTCAACCTGTTGCCCGGAAATGACCTGCTGCTCAGACTCCACTTGTTGTCCAGAGTCGACCTGTTATTGAGAGTCGACCTGTTGCCCCGAGTCCACTTGTTGTCCACAGTCGACAAGTTGTCCAGATTCGACCAGCTATCCGGAGTCAACCTGTTGCCATGAGTCGACCTATTATCCACAGTCGACCAATTGTCCATATTCGAGTCATTTGAAAGACTCTGAAATAACTTGGTTAGGTTCAATCTGTTGCTCAGATCGAAGAATTGCAGGTTGACAATCTTAGAGCCTTTATCGAAGCTCAATTGAAAATTTTTACCGAGCTTGTTTGCATCTGCCGCTGCAGAGATAATTATATGGGCGAATAAAATGCATAGGAGTTTTCTGGAGGTCGATTGCCCGGAGACGTTGATTACAGTTGTCATTTTATTCTGGCAGAACGATGTAATTATGCTCAGCTGAAGACACAATTGCCACGCACCATTCAGAGCCAGTGTCTGGCTAAATGTGAAAACCTTCCGACCAAGCGGCTAGATAAGTAATGCGCACTATGTGCGTATCAACGTTGAGGGGTAAAACCTGCTTGGTTGTCAACAACGCTCTGTCTGTCTGAGTAACTAAGCCGTCATCGACTTTAAAGCCTCTCGAGACCTGATCATTCTCGCCTTACATGAGGTGATATCACCTTGATTACCTCACCGAATATTTCTTTCTAATAATTATAAATGATATATCGAACGAAGCTTGTTGTATGACATCACCGGTGCTATTTTGATACCTCCGTGTGACAGAGCACTCCGAGTGACATCGATACACAGTCTTGTGTATCGATGCATGATTAGCCATAAACTTCATAGAAGTCCAAGAAGAGAAATGGTATTTCTCTTCTGTCACTGAGTGGCTAGTTTTTTGGTAAAGAATCGTTAAAATCCTGAATTTTTAGTATATGAGAGATCACTAAAAATTGAATAGATGTACAGGGTGTTTCAGAATTAAGTAACCCTTTTAATTTGTTAATAAATAAAAAACTAAGAACAAGGAATTTAAAAGCAAAGAAAACGCCAAGAAAATTCACCATATCGATATTGAAAACGTTTCGGAGTCCAGCTCCATCATCAGTTCGACTAAGATGAAAATTTAAGGCTTGATAATTAAACACAAATTTAGCAAGCTATACAGGATAATGACGTAACTATGATGCAATATTACCATGAAAATGTTCTTCTTTTAAATAAAACAAGTTTCAACTTCATAACGTTCTTAGTTTTTTATTTATTAACAAATTAAAAGGGTTACTTAATTCTGAAACACCCTGTATATGCCTGTCGTCAGACCTGAAAAAATGTCGAATGAATCGCATCATATCTTGCGTCAAAATTGTGTTCGAACGGCCGTGAGTTATCGCTATATCAGCGTGAGTTTTGATTGAGCGTCTCAAACTGATATGTTCTGTCTCATGCTTATTGTTGTGTTTGCTTTTGTAATTCCGAGCATTTGGGGAGTCTGTTGCGCAGAATCCGTTAAGATCATCATAATCTGAATGATTATCGTAAAGCAGAATGGCAATATGTTTTCTTTGTTGATGACTTCAATAATATTCGGTTCCCAGCAATAATTTTCAGAGAAATGGTTGGATTGTGAAGCTAATTTTCGATTAGCGCGAAGTTTATTAAGGCTTTGACATTTGGAGAGCCAATCAATTAAAAATCAAATGAATATAAAGTGTAATGTGATACAACCGTACGCGGTTAAGCACAACCGCTTTTATTTAAGCATAAAGGACTCACTATGCCCATTGCACTCACCAAACACTATATATATTCACTGATCCGGTCACCTTCAGTGGTGCTGCACAGGCACTGTGATCACACCATCCATTTCCAGATTTGTTTGAGTTCAATCAATAGTGGACGAAGTCCATCGAGTCTCAAATTTTACCTGCTACAAGAAGACTGGAATAATTTTTTTCAATAATAACTGGGTGCTAAAAAATCTGATTTTGATCACAAGGGAATAAGTTTACACGGCTGCATTGTTAGCATGCTGTTTTTAATGGCACTTGGCACTTTATTATTATTGGATATGATACATATGAGCGAAATATGCATGACCATCTAGCTTGGCTTGAATTATTGAAGTTTATTAAACAATTATTGAGTATATATATTAATGTTTGCACTGTAAAATTAAAACAAGAGAGCTGCTTTAAGAAATGGACGGATAATAACAAGAAAAGTGTTTTAATAAAACAGATTTGCTTTCACAATATGTACGTTGATCATCGAAATAGAAACGATTGGAAATCATTGAACCAAAACAAAATTGTTTAAACTAATACGTTTAGAGACAAAGTAAAACAGTTCGAAATTCAATGTCAAACTAATTTCAATCCATGAAATTATCTAATATGAACAAAAATGTATTCGTGGAAAAACCTATTGCTGCTAAAACTTAAATTATGTATCTATAATAAGTCAATGAATGTGATGCGAGCGAATAAGCCCCTATAAGATATGTATAAAATATCAGCTTATCAAAGAGCAATTTAATTACGTTCTATATAGGCGGACCTATCATTTGAACTATAAGTCTTAGTTTAAGGATATCGCAATGCTCAAAATTATGTTGATTATTGGTCACTAGACATTAACATAACGCGTACAATCAACTTATTTAGCCTTCTTGGAAATTGATTGTGCTTCAATTGTCTCAGTACAGTTTTGACAACTCGCTTTATTATTTTAACCTAGATTTAACTCGATCGGAGAGGCCTTGAGACACTTAAGTGTCTCAAAACAGCGGTCAATTTTCTGTCAGCGTAGTACCTGCTGTTTGCACGCCCCCTCCCCCATCATCCCACCCTCCTCCTGCAGTACGCGCCGCCCTGTCCCTCAACCTCGTCCCAGAGAGCTAGGGTTACAAACAACTGACCGTGACCTTGTCTCATGTCAACATCAGCACGTCACTCACCGCCTTCATCTTCCTGATGTCTCAATTCACCTCTATATAACCCTCATCATCATTTGATCTCTCGTGACCACAGTCCTGCTGAACTAAACTTAAAAAATACCGCTGAATTCCTATTGCCGACTGAAAATTCTCAACAAAAATTTCAAAAAACTTGAGGTACGTTTTTAATGTAAGGTGTGTTTTTGAAATAAGAGCCGTTAAAAAATTGTAGAATAATTGATTTGTTTTAAAGGCAATATTTTATTTCTACAAAACTCATATCTACATAATTTCTATTAATATTTAAGCATTTATCATATCTTTGGACCACTCAGCTGGTATGCCAGCGAAGCTTGCCTTTCGATTAGACAACCGATTTAGACAATTTCTTATAAAACACTTTCTGAGTCAACAGGGAAATTTTCAGCTATAAGAACGAAATCGGGAATCGTCCGTTCTCCTTCACTTTACTGTTCACTTTTTGAATCAGTTAATCAATAATGACTGGAGGTCTCCCACTTCGTTTATCAGCATTGCTCTTCATGATGCCATCCTTTTAAACTAATACGAATGCCGCGATGAATTAGTTTTTTAAATGCATTCAACATGAATCGAAATGAACAGAAGCTGAGAAAGATGTTTTTTAAACCGGTACATGAACGTCAATTTTTGGAAAAGGTAGTCTGAAAACGGCCGTGAGATTTAGTAACAGTGCAATTGAGAAATAACAAGCTATTGTAGAATTTATGCTCCGTGCTTATTTTGGCGGGATGCTTGAGAATTAGAAATGTTTCATCGACGTATCAGTTATTGAATGATAATTATTGGTTTTTAATTAAGAGGACAAGTTCATTCAGCTGAGAACCCTGTGCCAAGTTCTTGCTTGCTTTTGGCCTGATTTTTGTTGGCCCGTTTTAAAATGGACTTTTGTAAAAAATGTTTTAGCCTCTGAAAGATTTGTTCTTAGAATTAAGGTTTCTTCTTCCAACATTTCTGAATTTACTGGCTACCTACAAAACTCAAATTACGGTAATATTTACGTTTTAAATCTTATAAAAATTTCTCTTCTGTTTATTAAACCTCATGACCCACGTTTATCGAGACAGTTAAGATTTATTATACAATAACTTTATTATTGTACATACGCTTTCTATATTCTCCTGTTTGAAGGGGAAATCGTGGAGCTTTAGCTTAATTATTGAAATCTTGGTAATCGTAAGATTATTCTTTGCTTTAAAACTTTTTATTCGTCTACAGTTTTATTGGTACGAGTCTAGTCGTCTGTTACGACGAATACTCTGATTCAAGACTATTTTGTTGTATAACTCCCGAACCCTTGTCATTTAATAGAGACGCAAGCTTGAACGCATTTCTCGAGTTTATCGGGTGGAAGAAACGAAGTTCGAAAATAGTAATTGAATTCGTAGACCTCAATTGTATTGAATTCTACCATAATTCTGGCTTGAAAATACTAACGATTTGGATGAATTTTTTTAAAGAAGGTTTCAAAGTAAAGGTTGAGAAATTCCTTGAATTAAAAAAAGTAAGAGCTGCATGTATGCCATTGATGCAATTGATCCAGCATTTTTGGAGAATCCTTAATGGATATTATCATCCATAACTAAATACACCATTTTCCATTAGTCACATTTAACGAAATGTTTTAAAATTTCACAATTGAAATATTTTTCTTCTACATGCTGCTCGGTAATGCCAAAGTTGTTCTAGTTATTGATGTTTTTTTGGAAACTTCATATTTATTAAAGAAATTTCTTGAAAAAACGGTTTCAATATCACTTTAATTATATCTCATTTTTATCAATTAATTATCCAAACTCAAATAGAAGATAAATACAGACGGAGAAAATGACAGGCTATTGAGGATAAAAAAAATTACGGAAGCAAATATAATGAGAGTTGTTGCGGACTATTTATTGCTTTACAGCGCAACTGTTGTCTATGGCAGGATTAAGTGAATACGCATGCATCCATAGGTTCATTTGTGCTTTATATTCCCAGAAGACACGGTTTCTGGAAAGAAACCGGTACAAATACAAAATTTATTCAAAGAAAAAAGGTTATTGGATTTATAAACAATATTCGAAAATATTCAAGTAATTACTGAGAAATTAAATGCTCAAGAAATTACGAAATATTCAAACATGAGAACTAGGCTCACCAAAATTCAATCCTGATCTAAGTTCGGTCTGTACACCTCTGCTGACAGATGAAGAATGAACAAAAACACATCGCAAGACCACAGAATTAAGCTATTATCCTAAGACAAATGTTGCGTTCACAACACAAGTGATATATTGATATACATATAAGCGAGTGATATAGATGAGCGGTACATCTAAAAATAGTTGGTGTCCACAATATTATTGAATATTTCGTAAAATTATCTAACTAAAATGAGATTGAAATACATTATCCTTATCATACTAAACAAGCCACGAAATATGAGCGACATTTCTCTGCCGGATGAACTTGAGGAAACAAATTCTTGGATGACCTAGAATCAGACTGTCATTCAGTTCAGTTCAGTTCTCTCCGCGCCATAAGGCGCACAAGGCTTGGACGTCACTCCTCCACTGGGTCCGGTTTGCAGCTGCCTGCCGTGCTATGTTCCACGAGTTCCAGCCTGCTCGGTTTCTCTCCTCTTCCACCATTCGCCTCCAAGTTGTTTTTGGGCGTCCTCTCTTCCTCCTTCCTTCAGGTGCCCACCCGAGGGCCACAGCACAGTCGCTTGCTCTGTCCTTCCTCAACACATGTCCCACCCAGTTCCACCTCCGTCTCCTCACCACATCACTGATTTTCTCCACTTCTGTCATATCAAGAACCGACTTGTTTGAGATGTGTTGCTGCCATCGGATCTTGCAAATCTTCCGTAAGCATTTGGTCTGAAAGATATCTAGTTTCCTCTCTTCTCCCTTTGTTAGTTTCCAGGTCTCACATCCGTATAACAAAACTGTTATACGGATGTGAGACCTGGAAACTATCAGACTGTCATGGCTCCATGCAAAAGTCTCATGCAACCGATCATTTTTATTGTAACTCCTCATCATAGATCGTCGTAAAGATAATAAGTGGTGTAATTAAAGTCTACCATTCTTTGCAAGAGAAAGATTAACTCCCGAACAAGAGGTTTAATTAATTCAAACGGTTATCCTATCTTCTGATGAACTGTCATTACGTTGGTGCATGATTATATGTAAACGCATTTTCTAGAGTATCGATGTATATCATTTGTACCGATGCAGAGTATCATTTGTAGAACAAATGCAGAACCGCTAGTTCTGCCTTTGTTCTACAAATGGATTTGAAATGAGCGAATCAGTGATATATACTAGTGGACGTATCTGGTGCTGGTGTTGATACTGATACTGTAAGTGTTGTTGCTGCTGGTCATGTAGTAACAGATGCTGGGTGTTATGCAGTTGTTGGAGCTGCAGGTCCTAGTGCAGTTGTGTCTGTAGTCGCCACTTGGCAGCTGCTCGATCCTTCACTATTAAGTACATATCTGTGAAGGCAGAGTAGCAAGTTAACATTGATGGCTTCAAGTGGCGAGACACGTATGCAAACTGAATTGCTGAACAGACTTAATTCAATACACAAAATTCATTATGGCCTGTGTAACTGGTTAGCAAAAAGCTCCATCACTTTTAAGTCAAAGATTTTGCTCTCTCTTCCAATGCCCTTCTTGACTTCGATGCCCTCTTCCATAACCATGACTTCATCTCAACGAGAGCAAAAGTGACTCTAATATCAATGACTTTAACATCAGAACGGAATTAATGGATAACAACGACGGGAGACGGTCCCCATCTGACCTAGGAGAACTGGGATTGAACATCCCAGTTCCATTATGTTAGTTCCTCTATCCTTAATTCCTCGGTAAACGAGAAGCATGGCGGAGACCGGGCCTAAAGAAAAAATAAGTGACGAACAATAACAAGAATAATCGATTTCAGTACCAAGATTCGACGAATCCATGCCCGTTAGACTATTTAAGAGACTCCAATAGGATAATTGACGTTTTGAGACGCAGTAAACCTCAAGCTAATTCATCTATTCTTGGAAATTTTACTGTTCAACATTCTGTTTAATATTGCCTAGTTTTTCACCTTCGTAGTTTTTCATTAGAGCTTTGCACCGCTCCTGGCAATGACCCGACAGAACTTGACGGCAAATTAATAAATAATTTGAATGAATCTCTGCTTAAGGATTTGCGTATTTCATTGAGCCATCGACATGCGATCGCGTGACAACTGACTCACGATAACTCATGACTAATGTATTGATAGTGGAACCAACACCTCTTCTGAAGCCAATGAATCTAAACCCGGTATGAACGTGCTTGGATAGTTCTCCGGGATTTCGATAATATTTTTATACATGAATTCAAACATATTAATTATATTAACTCAATATCGATATGAATATATTAAATATAAGATTACATTGCTTGTGATATCCATTGCAGAGTTTCAAGAATTGTGTATTGAATTTTGTAAAATGCCTCATAGCCTTGTTCTTTGTTTGATTAATATAAGCATTCCTGCTCTGGAAATTATTTCAAGCATCTCAATGAATTATATATTCAAAAGAAATATCTTACATGAATTATTTTCGGATTGATTAATGCCGGTTAGCTAAGTTAACAGGATAAACTGGGATGAAAAATAATGGGTATATAATCATGTAATTGAATTGGCCCTGAGTAAACCAATTTTTTTAATAAGCTCCTATACTATGTATAGCAAGAAGGACAGAATAAAACAGAATAACTTAACATCTCATCATTGATAACTACGAATTTTCATTTGGTGACTTATGAAATGTAACTTATAATTTTGATTTTTGCCTGTTGTGGTATCATGTCAAGACTGGAATAAAGGGACGTTAATTAGAGTGTTTCAAATGGGAATGAGCAGTAACCTCGAACTGGACCTAATTGCAAAACTCCATCATTATTATTCATCTTCACCTGTTGAGAAACATCGTAATTCTACTCATATCTTTTTCGATCATGGCATACTCACTTCTTTTTCGATCACGGCAGTACTCACTTTTTTTTTTATCACGGTAACTGAGCGGTCGAATTTACTTTCTGAGCTGAGGGTTCCGGCATCATCCCCTACAGCGTGCGTACTCTTGAGGTTATCGAGCATTTCTACGAATATTGAGAACAAATTTCGGGGGACATTGCTTCTATAGTAGAAAAATGTATCGATGCTGCGCAAAGAACCCAAGCACTTATTGGTCGTCGGTATCTCGTATCGATGAGTTAATCCGGCAGGGGACCAAGAGGAGCTGTAAAAATAACCCGAAGTTAGGTTTAAGCAAATATCCTCTCCAGTAGTGAAGTGGATAAAGAATCATGTAGTTTCAAACAAAAAGTATTTATAGAAAACATGATCCAATAAAAAACAGGTAACTATTAATCTGCATCAAATAAAATTTAATTTTGAGATTGCACATTTTCCTTCATTATTATAAAATTATTCTTACTTTTAGAAAAGGAAACAGTGCAATCTATCAACCTAAAAACATCACGAAAAAATTAAATGAAATCAACTTGCTTGGAAACTGATTTCTCGATTCATAAATGAAATTTGCAAAACATATTCAAGTTAGGTACAAACATATTTAGGATTTTTCAAGTGGATGTGACAAAAGGACAAATATACAAACAATATAAATGGTGAGTTTTGCAATTAATGTGCCAAAGAATATACGAGGCTTGTTTTTAAAGTAAGTACCATTTTGACAAAAAATCAGCAGCCTATGCACTTGAAAATACATTATTTTCCTGAAAATTCTCAATAATATCGAGGCAATTGTCGTATCTTGGGACCAGCTTTTGTATGCCTTTGTTAAAAAAGCTTGTCGTCAGACTAGGCAACTGATTAGACAATTTCGTGCTATCCTCCCACCTCCGCATGCACGCTCTCGAAACTCGATTCAGTACTCTAAGCCAAAGTCAAGTTGCTCTCACTGAAAAAAACACAGTCACAGCAGTCAACTCCTCGTCTTTTCTCTCATAGCCCACGACATTAATCTAATCTCCTTACCTTCGATTCGATCCCGACATAATTTTTCTTCCTCTCTCATTCTTCTGTCCCACATTCCACCATGAGATGCTTTAAAGTTCACCGCTCAAAATTATTAGCTAATACATAAAACATTCATTCTTAGAAATTTAAAATAAAATAAAAATACAACAAAAGTTCATCATATCTTTGTAGAAAACTTTTAGGAGTCCAGCTCCATCGGCAGTTCGAAGATTTTATAATGCAAATAAAATCGCAAGCTAGTACAATTGCAAGTCATGGAACCGAATTTGAAATCTAAATTTACAAATGGAAGACAAAGCATAAGAAAAAAACAGCAAAACCTGTCTATTCACAGTTTCAAAAAGTTAGGAGTTAAGGGGATCGACCTGGCATTTTGAAAACTTCTACAGTTATTATCCGATTGTCATGAAACTTCACATACATACGTAAAATGTGAAAATAAAAACACGTAGAGAGATGGCAGTGGTACCATTTGAAAGAACAGAATTCCAGCTTTAAGATGAGTAGAAAAACCGGAAAAGCCAAAATTGATCGATTTTAGCCAGGTCGATCCCCTTAAATCTGCTGAGTCTAAGTTTGAAAATGTACAAGGATTCTAAATCTTGGGGCGATCGCATATGAATAGGAGGCATATCTTTGTATCTGAAGAAACAACCGATTTTGAAATTGTTAACCATCACAACATGAAGATTGACATTCGGAAGTATTTATTGAACAAGATTTTCAATTCTCTTGACATAGATTCGGACGCAGAGCCGAAGTAGGGAAAAGAACAATAAACAACATTCCTACTATCGCGCTCGTGAACAACCTCGCTGTATCGCTTCTACATGAATTTCTCGATTCGGGCAAACACCAAACTTGCCGGAAATCCATTAGGCGAGAAAATATTGCAGTAGTTACTGAACCGAGCTCATGGTAACATTTTGCATAAACAGTTTAAATCATAGGTTACCACAATCTTATTTCGAATCTTACCCAACAAAATTAACCAATTACCCCCGAATAAAACCTCCTTCAATATTATTACGAACACAAAATTAACCAATTACTCCCGGATAAAACCTGCTCATTTACCAGGCTTGAGTGATTTGAGTCAAACCTGCGTGAAGCCTTGAGTCAATTTTTTTCGTGGTGCACACCAGACAGTAGCTGAAGGCGCTCTCAAATTAGCCTCCACAAAAACTCGCTCCAGATCCAGGACCGGTCTAGCAGAGGCCAGAGGTAAATGCATCTCTAATATCGAGGGTGTTCTAGAACATATTTGTCCTTGACCGCTCGTTGATCTGTAATACATTAAGCACTGAACTCCCGTCGAGTGTGGATATTTCATATGGTGATCATTTCTTATTGATCGCGTACCAAAAATATACAGAGCAAATAAGCGCCTCAGTTTAGCACAGTTACTCTACCTAATTCAGAAGGTTACTTCATTTTCTTTTAATACTGCTCATTGAAAAACTGGATTTGCAGCTATGACTCACTCATTTCTCATAGTATTACCACCGTTCTCTCTCCTGCAACGACAGTTTCATACCCATTAAAGCCTTTGTATGTGCTATCGAACTCATATAGTTTGCTTATATCTGAAAATTCATTACCAACGAATTTCGGGAATTCATATGTAAAATTTCACCATCTAGTGCACAAGACCTCGACTAGTGGCTACACACAAGACAAGACCTAGTGGCTAGCGACGCGTCTTGATAGTCGCTACCCCAGGGTTTGATCCGAAGCACCTCTTGAGGCTTTTGCAGGTCTTACGTCAGTGGGCGGAGACATGGGAGAAGCTGTGAGGTGGTGATAAACGTGGCGCACGCCGTGCGTCACCGACAACAATGCTGTCGGTGATTAACTATGCGTGTATGAAAGAAAAAAAGAAAGAAAACGCGAAATTCTTAGAAAACGGTCATAAAAGTGGTACTGTAGAAATCTATCTCCTCCTACGATTTTCAAGCTACAATATCGCGACGCATATCATTCGATGCTTAAATACCATATCTGTCGATCGGTCGTAGCTTTTTTCGGGATTCCAATTTTTGAGGGTGAGGTCAACATTTTTTACAAATTTTCCGTAGATTGAAAAATCGAAAATTACCCCCATTGTTCGATGATTTTGGGGGTAATAAGATGATTTTGATACCGTTGGATTCATCAATGTCAACTTTAACATGAGCATATAGACTGGAAAAGCCAAAATCTTTGATTTTGAACAGACGATCCCCTTAACCTTAACTTCAGTATAATAATTCAATGTTAATATATTATAAGCAAATAAATGTATTAGAATAAAAGAATTTTTTCAATGTGTTTTTTATTTTTTCTATATAAAATGAGAGCTAACGAATCATCTAATGAATGTCATGCGGAAAACACACCTTAATTAAAGCACACTATAAAACCCTTTGGATAAATTTTGTAAGTAAAATGAGAGTTTATAAATCATTTCATGTAAATCATGCGAAAAAACATACATATAATGTGAAATCTCTTTGGATACATTTTTTAAGCAAAATGGAAGCAAATATTGTCAGCATGAACAACTGTGAAGTTTGTAACACAGTGGTTAAAAACCTAAAGATACATATAGAAACTCAAAAGCATCGTAAAGCAATTAACAATTCGATCGTATCAATGCATACTTCAATACAGAGACAAAATGTGTAATATGTAATCGGGAAGTTCAAAATTTGAAAAGGCATGAACAAACAAACGCTCATAGAAAACGTCTAAATGATAGCATAATAGCCAGTTCTCTCTTTTATTGTAATCTTTGTAATTTGGAAGTGGATGATATTGGAGTACATGAAAACTCAAATGTACATTTTAAAAATAAATTTGAATGCATGCGAGGGGAAATTAAAAAAGCTGTTAATGACACATGCGAAGAACATATTTATCATGATATCAGAACGATCGATTCTAAGTTGTCTCACAAGAATATAACATCTGAAGTTATTCAGATGTTATACAGTCGAAATTCGATAACATTAAATTAGAGTTGAATTTACAAGTTGAGTTTTATAAATTTAAATTAGGTAGTGAGCAAATCTATAATACCGGTTGGTTTAATTCAAACAGGTCTATAGAACTTTCAGGGATTCATATAAATTTAAATACAATTAAAAGACTGTATGATAACCTGGTACACAGAATCGAAGAATTTACGAATAACTCTTCTGGATGGGTATCAAAAAAGTTGCTAAACTTTACAATTAAAATTATTGAATACAAACGTTTAAGAGGTTCTAGCTATATTGAATTGCCTGAAAAATTGAGACATCCAAAATTATGTTAATAAATATTAAGTTAATATATATTATTATTAAGTTAATATATATTAATATCATAAATATCAAGTTAATAAATATTAAAAACCAAGATAACATGTGCTTTAAGTGGAAGGTCGCACGCCACTTCTGCAGGGACAGAAAAATGGTTAACAGAATAACGAAAATATTAAAGAAGAAAGCTGAAGAGTTGGAATTCGCAGATATAAAATTCCCTATGAAAATTAAAGACATCGGTAAATTTGAAAAGATGAATAATATTTCATAAACGTATATAGCTTGAATTATTCTTTGGAGCTATGCCCACTTCGAATAACTAAAACTAAAAATAAAGATGTGGTGTCATTATTGCTAATAACAAATGAGAATTGAAGTCATTATGTTCTGATGAAGTCTTTAAGTCCATTTATTCATAAGGCAAGTCATAGAACTAAATATGTATGTCCATATTGCCTGCATGCATTTACACGTGAAGACCTACTTGAAAAAATAAAGATTATTGCTCTGTTCACACGCCCGTCAAATATGTTTATAGTGATGAGAAACTAAAATTCAAGGCCTTTCAAAAGACTAGCAAGCATACCTTTGTAATTTACGCTGATTTTGAATCGACTTTGGTAGGTATTGATTCATGTCGGCCAGACTCCACGTCGAATTATACTCGGAATATTCAAAAGCATGAGCCTAATACTTTCTGTCGCTATACTAAATGCGAGGATGATAGGTACTCAAACTTGGAGTTAAATAATGGTGAAGATGCATCGGAAAAATTTGTAGAATATCTATAAGCAGAAACAAAACGTGTATATGAATTATTAAGTCAATATCCGAAAAGATGTTTTTATCAAATGAAAAATATTATGAACACCGAAATGCTACAGTTTGCTATGTCTGTAATGAAGAGTTTACTAAAGAAAACTATAAGGTTAGAGACCACAACCACCTA